TTAGTAGAGACAGGGTTTCACCATGTTGGTTAGGCTGGTGTCAAACTCCTGACCTTGTGATCCACCCATCTCAGCCTCCCAAAGTGTAGATTATTTCTATTTTTTTTTTTGAGATGGAGTTTCGCTCTTGTTACCCAGGCTGGAGTGCAATGGCACGATCTCAGCTCACCGCAACCTCCGCCTCCTGGGTTCAGGCAATTCTCCTGCCTCAGCCTCCTTAGTAGCTGGGATTACAGGTATGCGCCACCATGCCCAGCTAATTTTTTTGTATTTTTAGTAGAGACGGGGTTTCACCATGTTGACCAAGATGGTCTCAATCTCTTGACCTCGTGATCCACCTGCCTCGGCCTCCCAAAGTGCTGGGATTACAGGCATGAGCCACTGCGCCCGGCCTATTTCTATTATTAAACATCCATATTCCAAGCACAGTATAATTGGGCCTCATAATATATTCAGATAATATTCTAACTAGTTTTAAAATATTAATTTTAACTTATTCACTAGATCTTCCATATAAGTAACAGATATTTGGAGTTAAGGAATATATTTTGCTGAATAAGCAAAATAAACCTTACCGTTTAACAAGACAGTTTCATATACTCCTTAGTATGTGTTGGCCTAATTCACATGCACAAACATTAACTGAAACTCCACACAGCTCTGTGAGATAGATATACTTGTTATTCCCAATTTTACAGTTGGAAATTTTACACAGGAAACTGGGGAACAGAGAGGTGATAATTAGTTGACCCTAGTTCCCATGGCTAACAAATAATAGAGCTAGAAATTAAATCTAGGCTAATGTCTACATTACAGTGCCTCTAAACTTGCTTTTATTATCAATGTTTTTCATGGTTGAATGTGATGACAGCAGGCAATAAAAACACAATTCCTCAATCTCTTAATATCTACCTTGAATAGACACTCTCATCAAGGATATACTTTCAGTTTTCCAAGACATATTAAGTGAAATAAAAATCGATAATGATAATCATTCATAAAAGTCATACTTTTTTAAGTTCTTTACGAAGCCTTTCATTTTCAGCAATAACTTTTTCTGTGCCTTTGGTCTTGGATTCATAGTGCATGCTCAACTGATGCCCAAAATGAGCTTTAAGTTTTTCTAATTCGGCCTAGTAAAAAAAACAAAAAAACAAAAACTATACATTATCAAGATAAGGAAACAAAAGATAATATTATAAACTCATAAATGTTAATTCAAAGTCATTTTGGAGACTATATTTTATAAGATTAGAATTAAAGTCTTCATTTGAATATTAGAAGTTCCCAACACTGGCTACACATTAAACATAAACTGATGACTTAAAATAATAACAACAAACATACCTGTGTTAGGACTCACCCTAAAATAATTAAATCAATTCAGGGATGGGAGCTTGGGTGTCTGTATTTCTAAAAATAGACACAGGTATTTAATCTGTGCTGTCAGAGAGAAAAGTATTGGTCTTGGAATAACAAGGAAGATCAGGTTGACCTACTCTATAAACCTTAGCATGCCTCTCATAAGTTTTTTTTATATGTATAAAATATGTACTGTATTCATTAATGCCATTTTATATAGTAATAAGCATATTTGAAATTTTCCTAAATAGTAACAAAACAGTAAAATATTCCCCTAAATATGATCACACAAAAATAATTACCTTCAATTTTTCATTTTCCTGCTCAATATTAGCCATTTTTTCACTAGTCAATATTCCTGATGCTTTTTTCAACTGTTCATTTTCTCTCTGGACTTTTTCAACTACTTTTTTCATTAAACCAATGGTTTTCTCCAGTTCTGGGATTGTCTTTCCACTTCTACCGGACTACAAAAGAATATGTTAAATCTTTAATCATATGTTTTAGAGTGTATAATACTAAATGCCAACAATATGACAGGTACATTCTACTCAGTATTAATACATCCAATATTTGAAGTAAAACTGTGTTAATTCAGTCAGTCCTTAAAACAATTCTATAAGATAGAAATTATAATTTCCATTTTAAATAAAAGAAAACCAAGACTAAGGAAATTTGACATTCCTAAAATCAGGCATCTAATAAGTAATAGCTTAAATAGTCTCTAGCCTTGATGTCTGATCAAAATAAATAAATCTAAATAATCTATTTAGCTAATGTTCTCTCCAGTATATCAGTGTTTTCATTATATGAAATAAAACCATACAAGAGAAATTGTGTCTTTAAAGAGCTCATTAATAATTAAATTTTAATTGTACATAATAGAGGCAGTTTTCTCTAAGAATTGCTATTGCTTAGAAATTCAGTTTCTGTCCAATATAAATAGAAGAGATATCTGAAATAAAAAATCTTGCATAAATATATCAACAGAGATGAATCACTACTTAATAAGTTTAACTGCTTATTTAAAATAAAATTATTTTTTAACAGTTAAATGGTATGCTTAATTTTTTTGCAGTTTAGTAATCATCCATAAATAAGAATAATCCTATAATATAAAGGTTTACATCATTTTAGTATATATTTTCATAATTAACTTACATAGCAAAGGTCAAATTAACGTATTTTCATTGATGAATCAAATGTTTCTGTCAGCAAGATATTTGTTCTGAATATTTTTCCTTTTTTTTTTTTTAACATGGGGTCTCGCTGTGTCACCCAGTTTGGAGTACAGTTGTGCGACCATGGCTCACTGTAACTTCCACCTGCCAGGTTCAAGCAATTCTCCTGTCTCAGCCTTCTGAGTAGCTGGGATTACAGGGACGCGCCACCATGCCCAGCTAATTTTTTGTATTTTTAGTAGAGACGGGGTTTCACCATGTTGGCCAGGCTGGTCTCGAATTCCTAACTTCGAGTAATCTACCTGCCTCAGCCTCCTAAAATGCTGGGATTACAGCGTCAGCCATGGCACATGGCTTGTTCTGAATATTTTTCTAATAACACATAATATTATCACTGAATCCATCATATACTTAATATTACTACCAGAATGACAGCATTATGATTGCTTCCATTTATGACACTCAGCAACATGAAATCAACAGGAGTTTAAGTCTTTGGCCTTGATCTCATAAACAACATTTATTCATTATATAAGGTGAATAAAAACATAGGAAGAAAAGTACAAGAATAAAAAAGTGGGGGAAGAACAATGTATTTATAAAACATTATACCAAGAAGGCTTGAAGATATCATAACAAATGGTTACAAAATGTCAGCACTGGCTCAAGGACCAGTTAGTTAGCAGTTACCTCAACTAACAAAAAGATTCCTGGAAGTTAAACGTTTTCAAGCTGTGGAGGCATATTCAATAAAAAATAGAGATGAAAGTATATAAGGTATAACAGATGAAAAATACATTATTTGAGACACACAGGAATACTTAAGTGTTTTATATTACAGATGCAGAATAAAAACTGAAGCTACAGGACACTAATAAAAGCATATCACTACTATTATGATATATATAAACTTTTCATTTCTGGCTTATCCCTGCTGAAACCAAAACAAATGTATGGTAAATTCTCACATACCCCTCTAACATGGCCAAGTTTCCGCTCAACTTCTGCTTTTTCTTTCTTAAGAAATTCACACATTTCCTTCAAATCACTGACTTGATTCTGAAAGATAACAAGCAAACGTGTAACAATTTAACATAGCTTTAGCCACTGAAAAGAAAAGGCAAACTATTTATGTGAACCATCAATCTCTTCAATTGTATAGCCAAAACAAATAATTAGGTCCCTATACTAATGAGGAAGATTTTGAACTAAGAAGTTGAATTAATAAAGAATACTGTGTATATGAAATGTTGATATACTTCCCACATGACTGCCTGAGTCAATAATACAAATTTAGAATTCTGATTCTAACCATCCCATATATTGCACATGTAGATCCTTACCAAGTGTACAGAGCAAAAGGCAAGTGAACTTCTAATACTGGTTCTATCAATGTAAAACCAGAATAAGAAGCAGTACCAAAAAAAAAAGACAGAAAAAAAATGGCAGGTTAGTGCCCTCAAATAAATAAATGAATAAATAAACAGTGTGAGGCAGGACATAGCTTAATTATATCATTATCAGTGGAATTAACAGATTGCTAACATTCTAAATTAGAAAACAGAACTGAAGCAATTAGCCAAGAGAAAAAATGATTCCCATAAATAGGGTAAGACTTTTAGAAAACCAAAGATTAAAAAATTGTTACTAATAACAGAATAAAGTAAAATATTTAAAAGAAATAAATTATTCAATTTTACAGTGTGATAATTTTTAATGAAATATACCACGTATCTTCTTACCTCAGGATATTTGAACTTGCTATTTCTGTTGTCTATAATTCTTTTTCTCATATCTGTATGACCCACTTCCTTATCTCTCCTTAGGTCTCTGTTCGTATATCATCTTATTAAGGAAGACCTCCCTTACCATCCTATTTTAAATTAAACCCTTCCCCCTCCCCATACTCTTTACACCAATCATGCTTATTTCTCTCCTTAGGACTAATATCAGAGGACATACTATCTAGTGACTTGTTTATTGTCAGTTTTCTCCACTAGAATGTAAGTACTATGAGTGTAAGGAATTTTTTGACTGCTGTTTCTCAGCACCTGGAGGTGCTTGATATAAAGTAAGCCTTCAACAAATAAATATTAAAGAGAAAATGGATAAAGTATACCATCACTATGATATTTTAGGAAAATGCATTTCTGACTTCTTAATAAGCTAATATAAGTAAACATAACAACTAAGGAAAAAGTCTTAGGTATTAGATTTCCTAACTATAATAAAAAATATTAAATTTACCTTTAATCTTGGCAAATCTTTATTTGCTTGTTCAAGCTGAAATTTCAGTTCAATATTTTCAGATGACAACTTCAAGTTTTCCCTCTGAAGCTCCTGTTCTCTCTGACAATAATCATCTGACTCTATTCCTGAAGTCTTCAGAAAAATGAAATTAGGCATATTTTAAAAGTTTAACAAATAAAAGGCACAAAAGACCTACTAGATAAGAAAATACTGCCAAAACATAAGTTTTTTTCGCTCAAAGGAATATGAGAAAATCAGTTTCTGGAGAAAGCCAAAAATAAGTCAGTTATAATACAAAACTTGCAGAAGAAAATGTAGTATGGTTTAATTTAAATGGAAGCAAAGTTAAGTACGACTTAATAATGTCCACACATATAATGCCTTCATGTATAATTTCATAACGGTTAGGCTGATTTACTGTTGAGAACTGCTAAGTGTATGATAAAATTACATTGTTTGCTAAGACAAATGATGGTAAGGAAAACCTAACCACCGCATGCCCCCCACCGCCCCAGCAACCGAGTGGAAAACTACTTGGGGCATTCTAAAGTAGCAAAACAGTAAATGTATATCATATATCCGTTAAAACAATTCTTTAAGCATGGGATATGTGACCCTGCCCCCATGGCTCCCTCATGGAGAATACTTTCTGGTTTGTCCTTGATCAGTGATTAAGCAGGCACCAGCTGCCTACCTAGTTTATCTTGGTTCTATGAGAAAACACAGAACACCTGTTTGTTAATAGTAATCACCTGTTCAGAGAGACTAAATACGTGGGTCAGAATCTTCTGGAAACCCTCAGCCCCCTGAGGCTCTCAGCTCAGAAGGGTGTTGGCTCCTGGGTAGTCGCACTTTGCAGTCATATCTGGGTCTCTGCTTCCTAATGCCTTCAGCGCCGCCTAGGTGGGGGTCTCTACAGCCGAGCTGGACTCGGTAATTTATGGTGGTTTTGTTAGTCCAAAGTAGGGCATGATTGTTATCTAACCATTATGGGTCAAACTGGGTTCCCCTTACTCTAAACATTTATTTATTAAAGTCATAACTTCCAGTACCTCAGAATGTGACTTTATTTGGAGACTGTGTCTTTACAGAGGTAATCAAGTTAAAATGAGATTTTAAGGTAAACCCTATTCGACTATGACAGCTATCCTTATGAGAAGGAAAAATTTGGGGATTTAGACACAGAGACTATAGAGAAAAAAGATGATTGAAGAGACAGCAAAACGATGGCCATTTATAAGCCAAGGAGAGAGGTCTGGGAAAGATCTTTCCCTCATATTGTTCAGAGGAAAGCAACCCTGCTTACATCTTGATTTTGGACTTCCAGGTCTCCAGAACTAAGACCATAAATTTCTATTGTTTAAGCCACCAAATCTGTAGTAGTCTGTTACAGCCACCTTAGCAAATGAATATACTAGGCTACAAAAGAACTGCCTTAATTCTTACCTTCTTCAGAAAGATTTCCTTCATTCTTTGAGTTAAAATAACAGTTCCCTCCTTTGAAACCCATCAATATTATATTTGCATTTTTTTGACCTGAATGAATCTACATTGGGTTATTAGTTATATTTATTGTTACTTGTCATTCTAAACTCTATTTTTTTAAACTGTGCTTAATGATATATTTCTATGCATTTTTCTATAAATTAGAATACCACCTACCTCACAGGACTGTTAAAAGCATCATATGAAATAATTTTTTAAAATTATTCAGCACAACTTTTTTTCTTCTGTATTCCCTTCAGTCTCTATTGGCTTAATGGGCTGTAAAGTCAGTTATTCCACCAACATTATGGGTCTTAAAATTTATAATTATAAAATACCTATTATATACAACTTTATAACATCTTTTAGATCCAGTGACTGCATGTGTCCATCTGATTTTTGTTTGAGATGTGTATGCATATGCATACATGCAGTGGCAAAAAAGAAGACACACATTTTGTTGATGTATAAAATCACAAGAATACATTTCCACTTCCTAAGAAAGCCCAAGTATACATTCAAATGCTACCACTATTAGGTTAATACTAAGCAAATTCTACCACTTACATAAGGTTGTCAGTTTTTACATTTTATAAATGAAGGCACTAGACAGGATAACTTTTACGGTTATTTCAGACAGGGACTATTTCTGTCTCCCTAACTTCCTCTCTTCTGTGGTACCTATTTGATTCAGCAAATGATAAATACCTATGGTATTTGGTAGAGATGGGGTCTCTCAAGGCTGGTGTTCAACTCCTGGCTTCAAGTGCTTCTGACGCATTGGCCTCCCAAAGTGCTGGGATTGTAAGCATGAGACACTTTACCCAGCCTGTGTGAAAAATATGCTAAGGCACAGAGCCTACCACCATTTAATTTATCATTATCATTATTATTATTTTAGAGAGAGGGTATCACTCCATTGCCCAAGCTGGAGTGGAATAGGGCAATGTAACATCGAACTCCTGGGCTCAAATGATCCTCCCACCTCAGCCTCCCTAACAGCTAGGACTACAAACATGTTCCACTACCTCTGTTTAAATTTTTAAATCTTTCGTAGATAGAGGGTCTGGCTATGCTGCCCAAGCTGGTCTCAAACTCTTGGCCTCAAGCAATCTTCCTGCCTCTGCCTCCCAAAGGGATTACAGGAGTAAGCCACAGCATCCTGCCTGAGCCTACAACAATATAGACAGCAACATATGTAATATCTCATTATAACAAAAGTATCTGTTATAAAACATGGCAAAAAAAGCCACTAGAGAAACATGCTATATATCTTAGGATGTTGCACAATACTGTAACAAAATTTTACTGATATAATTCACTGTAGTGAGATCTTACTTCTAAATATAGCTAGATGCATTAGAAATTTCTAAGGCAAAACAATCACCTCTTAAGTGCCTTATTTTTGCTATTCATTTATCTAATACGATATTGTTTATGAACACCAATTATTAAAAAAAGCACTAAATTAGAAAATGCATATTCACTAATTTTTGTAGGAACTAGTCAGAAGAGCTTAAGATAAAGCTTACTAATAGTTAATGCTTTTTCTAAATCTTACACACTTTCCCTATTACACTATATATGTGTGTAAGCTACTTACTATAAGAAAATTCAGTTAACAAAGAAAGGACGGCCATGTATCCAAACCAGGGATGTATTCTTTCTTGGCTGGACTGGCACATCAGTTTCATCACCCTCAGCACACTGATCCACAGCATCAGCAACTGTCACATAATCACAGTCCTCCATAGCAGATTCTTCCAGATCCCTGTAGTTGTCATGACTGACATCTTCAGCTATGGTTCTATCTTTTCTCACTCTTGCCTATCTTATTCTCTTCCTCATTTTTATGTTCCTGTTTGTCATTTTGACAACATTCTTGATTAATTTTATCATCTTAGGATCATGATTCATTTTCAAAAAAGGAGTTACAATCTGCTACCATTTGTTGATGTAAATTGACTTTACTCTTTGGTCTTGCCTCAGATTTATTTAACTCAATAGCATCTACAATATCTTGATTTGTATTTTTCATTATTACTGTAATACCACTGAATATTTCTCAGTACCCAATTATGTGAGTCATTCTTGGAAACTATTTTCTTCCCATTTTTAATTCTGAATATTGCTATGATCTTTTTTGGTTCTGAACAAAGTGTTTCTTTTGTGAAAAATATCAGGCCCTTGTATTTATTAATAATGGTAACAAGCAATGAAAACATAGTTCTGTCACATACCTGATTCTGCTTAAGGTGGAAGAATGAAGAAACATGAAAAGAAAAAAAAATACACTAGGCATTAAAAAAAATCCAACAAATAATTCTACATTAATGATAAATTAGTTTTTATAAACTAAAACTATACCATAAATATTTGAATGGAAACAATCCTGGAACATATTTTCCTGTTTTATTTAACTGTATACTGCTGCCACAGCAAAATGCATTGTGATAACTACACATTTAAAACTTCTAGAACTCATTAATGAGTTTTATGCAAAGCTTAAAAATCTTCAGTCTACTGTTATTATGTTAAAAAGAATTAAATTATTATTCATCCCTATCTGGTAAAAATAAAAGTTGCATCTACTATAATGCTATTAATGAGAAAGCTGTAATACTTTTGGCCAGATTAAGAAAGGAGTTGATTTCACTTTTATGCATTTAAACATAGAAAAAAGAAAAAATAATAATATATATACACTTACTGAAGGCCTAGAATATACATCCTTTGAAAACTGTTTTTCCAAAGCATGAAGTTTTTCTTGGAGGTATCTATTTTGTAAGTGTAAATCTTCTATAACAGAATCCCGAGGAAGAGCTTGGTGGGCCCTATGAACAAAAACCAGACTCTTTACTATTCAGATTTCTACTATTCTCTGTTATACTATATAAAAATACAAGATAGAAAAGTTCAATGTGTTTATTAACACTATTTTTAAATTCTTCAAACCTTCTAAACTTTACAAAAAATAAATTCGGATATCACAATTAGTAGTATAAAGCAATCCTCTACTTCAAAGAGCATTCACTGTAGGGCTCCTTTAAATGATGAGTCAAAACGTGTATTTTGATGTACTGAAATACATTACCATTTCTAAAGCAGAACCTATTCATATGGAATTACATAAGATAAACAAAAACACTATCTTAAAATATTATATAATAATTGTATAATATCCATGGCCTTCTCAAGAAGCTTAAGGATCTAAAAAGACTCTTAATGATTCCAGATAATTTAACACTTCAAGTCTAAATACATTTGCCTGACCTACAAAACCCTCTTTGAGTGGCACCTCCCCATCTAGCCAACCTTACTGTCCAGGAATCTACCTTTACTTAGGTAAATACAAATCCATTCTTAGCCATACATGAAATTTACTCTTGCCTCTTATCTCTGCTAAGGTTCTCCTCTTTGATATGCCCCTCCCTTTTAACATCTAGATCTGATTCATAAAATTTAGAAATTCAAACGAGTTCAGAGAGAAGACAAATTCAATGGTTTCTATAGTCTCCAATTACTTTAGCCCAAACTCACATTATTAGAGGGAAAAAAAGCCTCTAAAAGTATTAAAGGTTTCAAAACTAAAATGATTTTATCCTTGTAAAACCTGCAAAGAAGAATAATAGTGTTTTGTTTTGAACATATGTTTAGACAAAGAAAAACAAGGAGGGTAAATCCACTGCTGTACAGTAACTATAAACAGATGTTAAGAGAAAGAAAAATTCCTCAATAATTTGTTTCTTCCCTATCAAGGAAAATTCTAAAGATTTAAGAAACAATAACTTAGAAGGAAAAGGAAATAATGTGGATTTGAAGCTCCTGGGAGTGCTCCTTTAAATAAGTTCAACTTCATATATTCACATCACATTCATAATGACACAACAGTAAACAGACATTAATACAAATTTATGATAATTTTTGAAGATTAATGGACAAAGTGTTATAAAGGGTAAATATTGTCATATCCAAATGTTGCAGGTAGATACTAGCCCTTTACAAGGATGATGATATAATTACAGATCATTTGTAAATGCAAAGAAGGAGAAATAGCATATTAGGTAAAACCAACCTAAGTTAACCTCGGAAGAAATGAGTGAAACAGATGATTAAATAGTTTTAGTTGTTGTTAGGACTATAGAAAATTTAAAAGTTTTAAATGTTAGCACATGATTTTATTTTGCTTTTCACGACCATGAATGTATCAGAAAATGTAACTTGGAAAGAGATGCAAAGCACACACACAAAATCTCAAAGGCTCTGCAAAGAAATGACACGGGTGATGCAGGACAGGGGGCCTGGTTCCAGGTACAATTCAGTAAATATATTCAATCTTCTCTCTCCTAATTGCACGTAGCAACCATTTGAGGACTCTGCAAAGCAGTAGAAGGCAGATTACAATAGAATACCAAAATTTAAAGTAGCAGCAAGCAGGTGATAAATTTACCTTTTCTTTTATTCTGTTACTGCCTGCCCTGAAGACATTATTTGAAACCTGAAGATGGATATCTGCACTGATGGAAAGAGCTCCAGGTAGTTCTAGCTCAAGTAAAGAGAAAGGGAATCTTTTAACACTGAGAGAGAATTTGAAAATACCTCACTATTTTTTTTCCTCTGTCTGTTCTTTCAGGCCCCAACCCTTAAGCCATCCCATAGCAGTGGTAATAGAGGCTGCAATGGGAACTCCACAGGAGCTACAATTTTTTGGGAGCGAAATCTTCTCCAATTAGTAGAGCTATAACACTAAAAGGGTAAAGTGAAAGTAGTTTTTTTCTTCCTCTTTCTACCCTCCTCTTGCTTGTTCTGCTGCAGAAGTGTGCAACTCTGAAGTACATAGCATCACTGGGTAACTAAAGACACAAATAGAAATCCCTAGGGAAACAAAGTATCAGAGAGATGGCAAAAACAGAGGCGCTTAACAAAGGGACCCTATAACGTTGTTTATGAACTTCCTGGCTCACTCTTGAGCTGTCCATGTATGGATCTATCCTAATGAGAATACCAGTTTCTCAGAACAGAACTAATAGTACCTAGCTCACATACCAGACCATTAATTGAGAGGTATACAGGCAGGACAGATCTGAAGAGTATTGTAAAGGCTTTGAAAATGCAACTAATATTAAAACCACAGCCCACAGACATGAGGTTGGAACTTGTGGCCTTAACCTAATTAGACCAATTGCATGCTGAAACAAAAATATCTACATTTTTCCATAGAATTTAAACAAGAACAACAGTCTCACAATGTAATATTCAAAAGGTCAAAAATACAATCCAAAATTATGTATACATATGTCATACAAAGAACCAGAAATATCTCAATTCACATGGGAAAAGACAACATAACCCAAGCTTAAGACAACACACATTTATTATTTCAATTTCTACAGGTCAACCAGTTTTTCTTCATTATAATGGGTAGCACATTTCCACATAAGACCTTACCTCATATACAATATGTCATTTTCTAAGTCAAGATTTCTCTTTTTTAATTCTTCCAATTCCTTTTCTGACTCCAAAGCTCGTACTCCCAAAACTTGATCAACAGTCATGCCAGTTGTTTTTAGTTTCCTCTGCAAAGTAAGTTTCTCTTTATCAGCTCTGTGGAATTTAATATAGAATCATGAAATATACCATTCAGTGTTTGGCTTTTCAATTGCGTACTCATTACCAAATCAATATATAAAAATTGTATCATCCTGTGTTTGTCATAAGCTACTTTATAAGAAAATCATAGGAGAATCCATTTATAATTGTTAAAGTATATTTAAAATGCATTTTAAAGAAAATAAAAAGTAAATCATAGATAATAAATGATCATTTAAACTAGACCATTTCTCATATTATCAACTATGATAAAGCTACATAATTTCCAGGTCATTAAAGAATTTTACACATAAGCAGTTTTATAATGATATTCAAACTCACTTAGCAAAAAGATCCTTCAAAGTATTCAACTGCTTTGTTAAAGTATGGACTTCTCCCTCTTTCTCTTTTAACTTGTTTCGAATTCCTTCTATTTTGGCTTGCCATTTTTTACCTTCTTCCCACCTAATTAATTCTTCTTTAGCATTCTGTAAACAATAATAAAGGAAGTAGGAAAGTTAACAATTATTATTTTAACTTTATCAATTAAAATTTTCCAAGAAAAATTGTAAACTGCTATTTCCTAGAGAATATTTGTAAATATGTTCATTTTGAAATGCTTGGAACAAGCAGTGTTTTGAAATTCAAATTTTTTTTTAAAAATGTCTGGAATATCTGCAAATACATACAGAGGTATTTTAGGGATGGGTCCCAAGTCCAAACTCAAAATTCTCTTATATTTCATATACACATAGCTTGGAGGTAGTATTATACAATATTTTTAATGATTTTTTTACATGAAACAAAGTTTTGACTGTGTTCTGACTGCAACTCATCATCTGAGGTCACTTAAGAATTTTCAACTTGTGGCATCATATTGGTGCTCAAAAAATTTTGTATCTTGGAGCGTTTCAGATTTCAGATTTTTGGATCAGAGATATTCAACCTGTTTAATGCCTAGAATCTTCAGGCATACCGAGCTATTAGGAAAACTGCTCTTTACGCTAACTATGGTTTATTCTATCTCAAGACAAATAAAATTCTGGGAGACAGTTCTGACTAATGCCAATACCCGCAAGAAGTCTTTAAATGAAGATTCTAATACAATCATGACTATAGTAAGCTTCTAACGAGAATCCTCTGTACAATTGACTAACCTCATCTGTTATCCCATGACAATTTCCTAGCATCAGAGCCTCTTCAAGTCTTCAATGCACATTACTTCGCTCATATGACAGATACCTATTTAGTGCTAACCATGTGCCAAGTACTACTCTAGGTACCAGGAATAGAAGCAATGACTAAATCAGATAAAAAACCGTATCTTCATTAATCTTACTATCTAGTTGATGCTAGCTGGTTAGGGAGCAAACTGCAGATAATAAAACAAGAAACAAATCTAAATCTATTTTGTAGTAAGTTAGCTAGTTATAAGTGCTAAAAAAATGAAATGGAAAGGAATTAGGGCATTTCAAGGGGTAGGTGTCATGGTTTATTACAACTATGATAAAGTAACCACAGAAAGCCTATCCAAAGCAGAATAGTCCCATGCACTGAACAACTTTCAAATGTTCCACTGGATATTCATATGGTAAAACATTCTGCTTACAATAGTCTGAGCTAAGAATTTATCTCCAACTCACACATTAAGTAATTTCTTAATGGTTTTACTATACACTAAGTTTTCTAGGAATACAACAGTCTTATAAAAAGTAAGATTATAGACATTGTTTTGCTGAGAACTGTACCAACAATTTGTTTGCCATTTTGGAAATCAAATTACCAATACCATCATGACCCATGAGTTGCCAATACAACACATTTGTGTCAGTCTGCATTTGTAGCTTTGATTTCACATTAATCAAGATGCAAACCATGACTAATTAATTATATTTTCCAACGTAGTCATGTCAAAGCATTTACATGTTGAAATATGAATATTCTTTTTATGTTCCCCCTATATATTTCATTTAGGACATTTATAATGATATTTTTGAAATTACCTAAGTAGGTAGAGTTTATATTAACTAATTTCAATTATAACAGTCAAGGGGACATTATGAAACATTATATTTTTAATTAAAGAGAATGTGTGAACTTGAAAGGGTTGAGAACCATGGTTTAAAGCATGACTCATGCTTGTAATCCCAGCACTTTGGGAGGCCAAGGCAGGAAGAATGTTTGAGCCCAGAGTTCAAGACCAGCCAGGGCAACATAGTAAGACATTGTTTCAAAAAAATAAAAAAATAATGAATAAAGCCAAATTCTCAACTAAAATTAGTTGTCCTATCAAAATGATCTTCTCAAATAATGGAGAACAATATTCTCCAATTCTCTTCTCTAATACTAATCAATTTTCTACCTTATTTAATTTGGCTAATAAGTGCCCTTTAAAAACTATAAAAACTTCAGGCAGGGCATGGTGGCTCACGCCTGTAATCCAGCACTTTGGGAGGCCAAGGCCAGCAGATCACCTGAGGTCCGGAGTTTGAGACTAGACTAATCAACATGGTGAAACCCCCATCTTTACAAAAAATATAAAAATTAGCTGGGCATGGTGCCAGACACCTGTAATCCTAGCTACTCAGGAGGCTGACGCAGGAGAATCGCTTGAATCACGGAGTTGGAGGTTGCAGTGAGCTGAGATCGAGATTGTGCCACTGCACTACAGCCTGGGTGACAAGCGCAAAACTCCATCTCAAAAAAAAGTAAAGACATCACTATGTGGTTGATAGTTATTAATTTCATTTTTTCTGAAATACGTACAAGAATTTTTCTGTACTGTATTTACTGTACGTGATGTAAATACTGGTATTTACATTTCTGGGAGTACAGCAGGTATGTAATTAAATAATCCTGCAGCACACAGTACTTTGTTGGGTTTTGACAATTCTATCCCACCTGGCATTACCTGCTAAATTAAGATTAAGGGAAGCAAGACTGAAAAAAACAATTGAAAAATAAGTCGAAAAACAACAAAGGTGAATAGTACTGTGAGTATTATAGGCTTTGGTTAGTGGTTCCTGGCTTATAACTCCCAAAGCACTTGTCATCATCTTTAGTTATAATATTGAGTGTGTTAGGCCTCTGGAGCAGACCTCAGAAAAAAGAGTCTCTCTGACCTTCTCCTGCCCTTCTTTCACCTGCCCTAAGGCAGTACTGCAATCTTCCTGTTTTCTGAATGTGGGTCATAAAACCCTAATACAAGGGGGTTCTGTCCCATATCCTAGGGAGAAGAAATACTGATGTCTTGAAGGTTCCCTAAAAAACCAAGAGGACTGGGCTCAGAGAGCTTCTGGAGAACTGAACATGCAGAGGTTCCTGGAGGAAGGTGTCACCCCAGAAGGGTATAGAAGTTCCATATCCCTTCCCCCATATCTCTCCTTATACATTTCTTAACCTCTATCCTTTGTAATAACCTTTATTATAAACTGGTAAATGTAAGTAAATGTTTCCCTGACTTCTGTGGGCCACTCCAGCAAATTAATCAAACCCAAAGCTGGGGGCTAGGGTGTGGGAACTCCAGAAGTCATGGAGGCCTGACTTGGAACTGGATCTGAAAGAAGATCTCTATGGGATCTGACACTATCTCCAGGCAGATAGTGAATTGAATTGGATGACACCCAGTTGGTGTCTGCTGCCAAACCGACTGCTTACTTGCTGATGCAGAGAAATCCCCACATATTTTGGGATCACAGAAGTCTTTTGCACTGATTGTTGTTATGGTTTGAGGACAGAAGAAACACATGGTTTGAGCACTTTTTCCAAAACAGGTATGTATGTTCTAGACTGAAGGGGAAGAGAGGAGAAGATTGGATGATAGGAGAGTAGTTCTCTTTTCATGTTTTCTGCACCAAAAGCTTCATATGTATAGATTTCAGAATAATGCTATTATAACATTTAAAAATTTACATTCATTCAACAAATACCGAGGATCTACTATGAGCCAGGGATTGTTCTAGGTGCTGGGAATACAACAATAAGTAAAATAGGCAAAGTTCCTGCCATCAAAGCTGATGTCTAATAAGAAAAAACAAAAGATGAACATACAGACAAGTAAATGTCTAGTATGTTAAGATAGTAATAAATGCTATGGAGAAAGAAATTCAAGGCCCAGGGGTGGGTTTTGTTATAGAGGTAGACTACAAATGCTGTTTACAGAGAAAAAAGTACTAAAACTTCCAAACAATATGAAAGCATTTCTTGAGTATAAATTAGAAATGCCCAACCACTAAAGAATCTGAAAAAATATTCTCACTAGATTCCTGAATACTAATTTTAATATTGGGCATTGACCCCTGTATTCTCTTTCTAGTTAGTAGCAATATCTTGTATTACTACTGACGTGATGGCTTACAAGACTTCCACATATCATTTCATTTTATTGTAAAATAATCTTGAGAAATTGGCAATACAGATATTATTATTCCCACTTTAAGGAAGAATAAACTGAATAAATAAATCAAATAACCTGAAGCATAGAAGAGTCCAGGCAAAGCCACAAGGCTTATAAAGCATTATGACAGACATCAGGTTAGAAACTGGTATAGAAACATACCAGTTAGGAACAAACATACCAGTTTCTAACCTATCCCCATTTAAGGATAAGATTAGGCCTATCCCTAATTAGGGAGTTAGCAAAGACAGAAATGCAAAAGAGTAAGGACATTTTGATCTTACAGTTTTCACCAGCAAAGTTTCTGACAGCAAGCATGTTGTGACTCCATTCAAATAGTGTCATCGAAATTACACTGACATTAACGAATTTTTATAGAAAATAAATTTTGGAGTATTATACTCTATTAAGACATTTGAATTCCATTACATATCTTCTATTCAATGCCTTTAAAGACAGAATTTTCTTTTTCATTTTCATGTTATTGTAATTATTTTATAGATATTGAATATTTTCTGGGTAAATTTTATAATGAAAACTTTTCCTAACCATAGCTACTCCATACTGATTTTCTTGAAGGGTAAAGATTACTACTAACACCAACATTTCCCAGTTCACTTTTGGTATTTTGAATCTTACCAATAAGTTATCTCCAATTTATTGTCCATAACAAATTTAATTACATACATTTTAGCCAATTTTAGTTTTTTGAATGGTTATTTCAATCAGTAGTTTTTATTACAAAACAGTTGACTATGACCTATAAAATTTTAAGAAATTTCTCCCACAGAGTTATTCTATGAGCAGATTGGTTACTGATTATTACTGCAAATACTGAATATATTCCAAATCACTTTGCTATCAGAAATAAGAGCCTAGTATCCTGAAGGTTAAAAAGGACATATCTGGGTTCAAGTAGAGGTCTTAAAATGCCTATCTTTCTGTTCCAAAATTCAAAAACACCAACCTGTGTAAATGATTACTTTGGGGAGAAATGATACACAGTCGAATATGTAAGATGTGAATATGTAAGTACCTTAGAGGTACTCTAATATAAGAAAGATGAATGGAATTGATGTAGTAATTTCCAAGTAAGAGTTACATTACGGTATCTCCTCAAGTAGACTGGAAATTTCTACAGAACAGCAACTTGTTTTAGACTTCACGACGTTATTCAATACTACTTATAGTCCTCAAAATGCAGAATTAATACAGCCAAATCCTCAAATTAAGGCAGTGTATTAATGTTAATCAACTATGTATTTAACTTACTCTGTCACTACACTAAGCATATTAGTCAGTAGGTTTCTTCACATACCTTTTCTTTCATAGGTTTTAGGTCTGCTTCATCCACCTTTCTTTCTAATTGGCTTTCTAGTTTTTTAACTTTCCTTTGGAGTTCTTCAATTAGACGTTGTTTGTTATCTATCAGGGGTTTGCCCTAAAAAATAAAAGGTATTTTTGTATTTTTACAATACATATGAAACAAAATAGACAGTAACTATATAATAGAAATTTCCTGAAGCTATTACTGACCATACTTTCTAAATGACATTTTTCTTACATAAGATAATCTGGTAGCTGCTTCTGAATTTTAATAAAATAAGCTACTCTAGAACTATAAACACAATAGAAGTCACCAAAGAAATTACATTAATCAAAGTCATTTGAAAGTCAGTTTTAACAAATATCACAGAAAAAATTATAAAGTGGAAATAAACTACTGCCTCTATATTGTAAATCAGATGTAATCAGTTAAACATAATAGTACCTGTAATCCATTGGTTAGTCTTTTAATTTGCCTTTTCAGTTCATCATTCTCTTGATCAATTTCATCTTTCTCTCGAAGTACTTTATTATAGGCTTTTTGTCTCTTTTGCAGTTCATTATTTAAGTCATTCAAATTATCAGTTAGTGAGTTTTCTTTATTTTTACTTGCTTTAAGTGCTTCTTTCAATTTTAAAAGATTTTCATTTAAATCTTCAACTTGTGACTATTAAGAAAAAAAGAAAAGAAAAAAGAAGAGTCTTCATCAACTATCAATGATAAAAGCAACACAAAACAGAAAATATACCACTATAAAAAATTTGTCTGAATTTTTAAGTATACAAGGGGGAAAAAATGCAAACTACATATTTTTTTTTATGTTGATGTCAAGTCTACCTTGAGAAAAAAGTCTACCTTGAGGAAAAAAATGTAAAACTAGTATAAACCAATTCATCTTCAACAAACACCCACAAAGAAAATTTTATCAAATATGCATGTTTCATTTTGGCTGAATTAATTAAATAAACAAGTATATAACAATATAAATGGCAATGTTTTAAACACTATGAAGCATAAGAGAAGTATAAAACAAATATCTGACTTGAATCTTTATCGAAATAAGACATGAGTCTTTTACAGAAATAAGACATAAAAGAGTAACTCACAATACTATACACTATGTATGCCACTAGAAAGCAGTTGCTAGCTGTCCTATGGTGAGAATGATGGGGATACAGTATAAGATATTCTGGAAAAGGTGAAACTATGAAGACAGTATAAAGATCACTGGTTGCCAGGGGCTTGGTGAGGTGGGGAGGGCAGAATGAAGAGGAGAGGCACAGAAGATTTTTAGAGCAGTGAAAACACCCTCTATAAAACTACAACAATGGATACACATCATTATACATTTGTCTAAACACACAGAGTGTAAAATACCAAGGGCTAAAACAGGGGTAAACTTGCACTCTGGGTGATTATGATGTATCAATATAGGTTCATCAGTTGTAACAAATGCACCACTCTGGGGGGCAGGGGACACATGGGAAATCTCTGAACCTTCCTCTCAATTTTGCTGTGAACCTAAAATTGCTCTAAGAAAATAATAAAGTCTTAAAAAAAATCCTAGGTAAAATATTTCTTAAATTTAACGCCATTAGAAAGAGTAGTTCATAATGGTCTATCCTTTCCTAATCTCCAAGAATCTACATGAATACCATAAAGATACTTATTGTTCAAAAATGCATGTGTGTGTCGATGTCCGCCAATATTATAAATTCCCTACTCATCAGCAAAATTACTATATATCCAAGTGAATTCTCTTCCAATAGGAATTATCAGAATTTTTGTTACATTAACACACGTTGATGTTCACCTTCAGCTCTCTAGTATGTCGATCAACAATTTGCTGAACATTGAGATGGGCCTCTTTCTGAGAAGTTGCAGAAATAATACGTTCTTCAGCAGCTGCTGTCATTTCTGCCCGGAGTTCTAAAAGTGCCCGACTAAGTGCCTAAAAATTACAAAAGCAATACAATTTTTTAAGGAAAATCGACATTTTATATGCACAATATATGGTACAAAAAAAAACAAACTTTATTACTTTCTACTATTTTCCTAAAATACTATGAGTTTAACAGAACATATTTTGCAAATTAACAATTCAACGTTTTCAAATAAATCTTTTGTAATTACACTCAATTCTTTCCACATTGAATGTGCATGTTCAAAATCTTAATAATGATTTTGAGAACTCAGCATTAAATCAAGCAGTTTGTATTACAAAAATAAGATATGTTTTGTTTTCAAATAACCAAGTTTAGATATTTAAATTAGTCACTTAGTACATCCTCCCATATGAAATTAACTGAATTTACATAGACAAAGAAAGGACTAAGAAAGGCTTAAAGTCTATGCATAAATTTCATGAGCTAGCACAGAAAAACAGCAGCAAATTCTAAAACAATTTGAATATATCAAATCTGAGATAAATGTTTTAAAACCTAATAAATCAGAATACACTGACCAACTCCTTCCCACAAAACCATCTCTATGACCACTTTATCTCTGTTTCCTCATTACCATATCTCCCTCTCAAACCCTCAAATTGTTCAAAATTGTTCCTTTGTTAAAAATGCTAGCACAAAATCTCAGTAGAAAAAAATAAAAGACAATGTAATGTATATTATATGTATATTTCTATAATATACATTAAGATTTTTCCACACTTCATATAGATAATATACAAATCGAATTGATGAAAACATAAAAAGATAAATTGAACTATATTTGCCCTGAAAAATAGCACTTAACAAGACCATTTAACAGAATTGTCTGAAAGATCCTGTTTAACAGCATAAGATAAAAGCTCATACTTTTTATTACAACAGAGATTTACACTACCATCTTTTATAAATTTACAAATCTTCTCTAAAAGCAATCTACCACAAATTTTTCCTAAATCTTGGTAATTTTCTGTTGTTACTTACTTTCTGTTGTTTCTCCTTCAAGGCTAATTGGCTTTTTAGCCGTTCTACTAGATTTCTCATTGTAGTTGTTGGAGCTCTTGAATTTGCTTCTTTTTGAGCCTGAAGTTCAGATTTTAAACACTGTGACTCCTTTTGTGACTGGGCCAGAAGATACCTTAAATCCTCTAGTTCTGCTTTTACTTTTTTCACTTCTTCCTCATGGTTTTCTTGGAGCCTGATGTAAATAAACATATGTGTTGTTTTTTTGTTTTGTTTTGTTTTTGTTTTGAGACGGAATTTCGCTCTTGTTACCCAGGCTGGAGTGCAATGGCGGGATCTCGGCTCACCGTGACCTCCGCCTCCTGGGTTCAGGCAATTCTCCTGCCTCAGCCTCCTGAGTAGCTGGGATTACAGGCACGCACCACCATGCCCAGCTAATTTTTTGTATTTTTAGTAGAGACGGGGTTTCACCATGTTGATCAGGATGGTCTCGATCTCTTGACCTTGTGATCCACCCGCTTTGGCCTCCCAAAGTGCTGGGATTACAGTCGTGAGCCACCGCGCCCTTTTTTTTTAACTTTTTATTTTTTTGAGACGGAGTCTCTGTCTCCCAACCTGGAGTGCAGTTCTCAGGTTGGTGCGATCTCAGCTCATTGCAACCTCCGCCTTCCTGGTTCAAGTGATTCCCCTGCCTCAGCCTCCTGAGCAGCCGGGACTACAAGGGTGCATGTTTTTATTCTAGTTTTTGTCTAATATTTTTGGGAACAATCTTACCAAGTTATTTTGTGGCTTTAGTCCAATAATACAGAGAATGAACAAAATAGCATTTTAAATAGTACGGCTCTTGCAAAATGTGACTGCTTCCTCTATATGATAGTTTCCTAACCACACTACTGGTAACATTTTTGACGATAATTCTTTGTTGTTGGTGGGGCTATCTTGTGCATGATAGGATGTTTAGCAGCATCTTTTGGCTCTATCCACTAGATACCAGTAGCACCCCCTAGCCATGACAATCAAAAATGTCTCTAGACATTGCCAAATGTCCCCAAGAGGGACAACAGTAAAAAATTGATCCCCTATATTTGAGAACTAATGCCCTATATTGACATATTGAAAAGGTGAATATAACTTTTCACAGAAATCACATGTATTATTAATTCATTTATGTCAAATTCACTAGCATTATTTCTATAATTACATATATGGAAGTAGATACCATCAACAGGTATTAGTTAATTCAATTAACCCTATTGCTCATTCAGCATTAAGTCTGTTAAACTGAATTAACATATTGTTGTGCATACAGATACCACATCTCTACTGAGATTCTGACCAATGAGAGGGAGATAGTGTTAAGAAATAAGCAAATGTTAAACTCTTTAAGGTTTGCTGTTTTGGCAAAACTTAAGTCTAACTTTAAAGAGTCATTATCAAATTGTGAAAATATGAGGTTTTACTTAAGAAATCACACAGATCCATGATTTCCTAATATACATCAAAATATGCAAACAGAGAATACCAGTACAATTTTGGGCTAAAATGACATGAGAAGGTACACAACAATAACTTGAAGTATTTCATGTGGCAAAATAAATACATTATACAAGGTATTTCAAGAGATCATAATTTTTCTACACCCTGGAATTGGAAGCAAAAACACAAGTAATTTTATACTCCAAAACATAACAGAAATTTACTAGACCAAAGATAACATCTCATGTACAAAATTTAAGAGAGGGAGGAAAAGAGACTGAAAATACACATATGCTGTTGCCAATTTTCTTTCTTTTAGAGAGTAATTTCTTAAAAGTGGCAGCTCATTAACAAAGCAAAAATAGTGTTAATTCTGTTAGAGGCATTTGAATAAGTGAGTAAAGAATCAAAGGCTCTAATAGGGGCTTGAGAGCTGAAATGGACTTATAAGTCAAACAGTTCAACTTTCTAATTTAGGCCCATACAGGTAATACTACAATAATTAGAAACTACATAACTATAAACCTATTTTGAGTTTAAAATCTTATGTTCTGATAAATTGGTTGAACAATGTTTAGAACCTCTATTATGTTCTAGACACTCTTATAAGTGTGTAAACAAAAGTTTTCTCTGTATATGTTATTTTACAATATTCAAATTACTTTCATACATGGTATGATTTGACCTTCATATGACCACCCCGAAAAAGCCAGAGAAAGTACTTTATTTCCATTTTAAAGATGATGAGGCGGAGTGAGGTGGCTCAGGCCTGTAATCCCAGCACTTTGAGAGGCCAAAGTGGGTGGATCACTTGAGCTCATGAGTTTGAGATCAGCCTGGGCAACATAGCAAAACCTTGTCTCTACAAAAATACAAAAAACTAGCCAGGTGCGGTGGCACCTGCTTGTAGTGCCAGCTACTCAGGAGGCCGAGGTGGGAGGATGGCTTGGGCCTGGGAGGTAAAGGTTGCAGTGAGACCAGATTGTGCCACTGCACTCTAGCCTACCCAATAGAGCCAGACCTTGTCTCAAAAATAAATAAATAAATAAATTGATAAATAAGATAAAACTGAGGCTCAAAGAAGGTAAAAATGAGATTCTGGAAAAGAATCTGTATTGGCTTTTGAGTCAGACTGACTAGTTTCAAATTATGTCTTTCCCATCTTCTCCAGGCATGCTATTAAGCATTCCTGAGGCCATATCCTCTCTGAAAAAGGTGAAAATGATAACATATATAATCAGTAGTCCTGAGGATAAAAATGAGACAATATACATAAAAGTCTTAGAACAGTTCCTGGCGTAGCAAACACTTACGTTTAGCTTCATTATATTATTATTACCATTGCCTATTTTTACAATACGTTTTGGAGACTTACCGTAATTTGGTATTTTCAAATTCTTTTACTTTTAATTCAGTGATTTCTCTTTGTCTCTCTAAATCTTGTGATACTTTCTTTAGTTTGACCAAGAGTGAAGAGAGAGAGTCATCTTGTTCTGCTACTGTCTGTTCCATCTCAGCCAGACGAATAAAATGCTTATGGGTAGGAACTGGAGTGGGAGACTCTTTCATTAAATTCTATGAAATATGAATATATTAGCAATAGGCATGCATAATTCAATGCCACACTTATTCTATATTTTTAATTTGGTTCCTCAAATGATCAAAATATAGTATCTAAAATGTAATGATTTAATAGGCAGTGAAGGCTTAAAGAAGACAGGAAGGAAATACCTTATTTTTTGTATTTATAATAGCTAGCAAAGTATCTGTATGTAGCAGGAGATCAAAAAATGTTAACTGAATTAATGAGGTAAGGCTCAAACATGCTAATTACATTAAAAACATTAAAAGATACATGAAAAACATTAAAAGATGACAGGCCATTTCATACATATGAAACAGAATGATCAAAACAGGCAAGTATGAGCTGAATTTGGAGATGAAAAGCAGTTAGTTATAGGTAAACTTACAGTGTAGAATTTGAAAAGAAAGGTAGGTAGGTTCATAGAAGATCAAGCATATGGCTAAAGAGTATAAACATAACTTTGTATGAGACACAGAAGGAGTTGGGTCTAGGAAGAAGAATGATCAGAACTATGTTTTCAGAAGATTATTTCGGCAACAAAAAGGTAGGGTGACTTCTATTCCAATAAAAAGAGTGCTGAATTTTAAATTACATGGTCTCAAAAATCAGTAACAAATAGAAAAAAGGTCTTAGAATCTTACCCAAGCTGTTTGTTTGAATTTATTTAGTGAACTATCAGCCTGTAGTTCTAATTTGTGATGAAGAATACGAAGGTCTTCCTCATGTTTCTTCACAATTTCTCTTTGCTCCTGTTTTACAGAAAATCGAAACTATATCCTAACTTGTGATTAAAATAAATTCACATTTTGAAGACCTTATATATTTTCTTTTTAATCTTCTAAAATTCTTGAGATGAGGAAGAAACAGTATCTCTATGTATGTACGTATTTAGACCAGTATACATGTCCCCTCACACAATGTTCAAGTTCACAAGTCCTACCTCAGTTCATAACATATTCTTAATATTAAAATAACATGTATCTATCATCTTTTAACTTATTTCTAGAAAAAATAAATGTTAGCTTTTCCCCACAAAGTTCTAACAAATCTGATTTCTACTGATTACCAGTGTGACATATTTTATTCCATCCTATTACCTCAGTCCTCACCTATAAACGCAATTAAATATTTTTTGGCCGGGCACGGTGGCTCACGCCTGTAATCCCAGCACTTTGGGAGGCCGAGGCGGGTGGATCACGAGGTCAAGAGATCGAGACCATCCTGGTCAACATAGTGAAACCCCGTCTCTACTAAAAATACAAAAATTAGCTGGGCATGGTGGTACGTGCCTGTAGTCCCAGCTACTTGGGAGGCTGAGGCAGGAGAATTGCTTGAACCCAGGAAGCAGAGGTTGCAGTGAGCCAAGATCGTGCCATTGCACTCCAGTCTGGGTAACAACAGCGAAACTCCGTCTCAAAAAAAATTTTTTTTTTTTCAAAATCACGATTTCACCATGACAACTACTCCTGGTTTAGTCAGTGTATAAGAGAAAGATAGACAAACTGCCAGTTTTGCTGACGGAGGTGTAATCCAATCACACGATCACATGCAAGTAACAATTCTTAAATAGAATCATTTGAAAGCAAGAAAGGAACTACCACTTTAGGGCAAAATAATATTTAGCATTGGATTAAAAAAACATAATACATAAAACAGCAAACTCATAATATAATAAAATACCTCTCTGGCTTTTTCTAGAAGATGTTGATATTTCTTTACTATTTCTTCTTTTTGATTTAACCTTGCTTGCATGTTTGCAATAGTTTGATGAGCAATTTTCAATGTGTGATGAGATTTTGGTTCCATCTCTTTTCTGCCTAGCTCAGCTATGAGCTTTTCTCTTTCTGCAGTGGCAGGCAATCGAAGCCTCAGTTCATTGATTACTTTGTCTCTTGACAGTATATTTTGTTCTGCTAACCTTAAAGCAGATTCTTTCTCTTTTAGCTTCTGCAATGATTAAATCACAATAAATCAGTAAAGCATATTTTTTCCTTTAAATACTTCATCTGAATTTTAGGTTATTAGCAAAAAAAAATTCACTTTATTTTTCTCATCATATGTACAATAGCCATTTGATACTTAATAAGGTTAAACTATTTCTAATTGACAACATTTATTTACATAGTTTATAAGAGTATTACATATGTTAGAAACTTCACTGTTACAACAAAAATAAAATTTAATTAATGTACTTTATTGAGATATTACAGTTTAGAACTACAAATGTGTGGTTGTGCTAGATTTAGGAAGAATATGTAATAAATTATTTCCTTTATTTTGGTCCATTGACTAGCAGAGCATTAGAAGACTAATCTAAAGTCAGTGAAGTACAAAACTGGAATTTTAGTGGCCCAAGTCAAGAAATTAGTATTATAAAACCTGCACTTTATTAAAACAAAACAGAAAAAAAAAAACTAGAAAAATTTTTACTCTTCAAGAGGATTAAGGTATTTTAAATTAAGTGATTCAGTGGCAATTCACATAAATGACAAATCTTACAATTACTGAGGAAAATCTAAGTTTCCTGAACTGATTAAAAATGTACAATTTTACTTGAAAAACTCCTTTACATATATTTTTAAGTGTATTTGGGGTTAATATATTTATATGGAAACTAACATGAAAATCATATTTTTAATTATTTTCAAAATAATTTAATAAAGATGACAGATTTGATCACCTACTAACCAAAGTCAAGATCTAGATTAAAACAGAAAATAATTTCTAATTTACCTTCAACCCTTTAGCCATGCATAAAAAGGAATGAACTGAAAATGGATTAATAGATTATGTAACATGTACTTCAAAATAAAACCAAAAAAATAAGGAAAGATCATATAAAGGAAAATAATATATGGTTCATAAAGCTACAATTAAATGCTTTTTTTTCCTTTCACGCTAGTGCTGATCAGTGAACCTAAAGGTAACAAGTTATAACTAAATAGTGAATTCAGGGCCGGGAGCAGTGGCTCACGCCTGTAATCCCAGCACTGTGGGAGGCCGAGGCGGGTGGATCATGAGGTCAAGAGATCGAGACCATCTTGGACAACATGGTGAAACCCCGTCTCTACTAAAAATACAAAAAATTAGCTGTGCATGGTGGCGTGTGCCTGTAACCCCAGCTACTAAGGAGACTGAGGCTGGAGAATTGCCTGAACACAGGAGACGGAGGTTGCAGTGAGCTGAAATCACGCCATTGCACTCCAGCCTGGGTAACAAGAGCAAAACTCCGTCTCAAAAAAAAAAAAAAAACAAACAGTGAATTCAAATTAACCATATCTGCTATTCATTATCAGTTGTTAGAAGCATTAAAGGAGAACAGAAAAAGAGTGAAATTAGCAACAGATTCATCATTCTATGCATCATCCTCATAAAGAAACATTATTTAACACCCCCCACAAACATTCCAAAGAATACACGAATCAAAATGCAATTTTTTCTAATTACCTCTTCAAGTGATTTGCAAGTTGCCTGTGTTTCTAGGATTATCCGAATGTTCTCCTTAATTTTTCTTAAAGCAATCTCAAGTTGATTTGGAAGGGGCAAACTAGGGTCAGGGATTGATCCTGTAGCTTCTTCAAACTATTAACAAATAGTATGTTTTCTTAAAAAAGCAGTTACAGCATTGAAAATAACAATATTAACTTTTACGGCTTTATGATAAAACATAGATTAAACCCCTCATATTTTAAATATACAAATATAAGATCAATTAATATATACAAATATAACATCAGTTAAAATTATATCTGATACAGGAAATATTTCTGTGAATTAACACTCTAGGCCATGCTACAGAATAGCAAACAAGATTAATCATTCATACCTTTTGTGCTGCATTTAGTATTTCATTTTGCTGACGATCAAAAATGTCTAGTTGACGTTCCAGGTCAACTTCTCTTTGATCCCAAGCCATTTGTCTTTCTTCATGAAACTAACAAAAGACAATTTGTGTCAGACACATACACAAAGACATCAGGCACATAACAAGCATTTCATATATTTTTTCTTAACTAATCCTCACAACACATTGATGAAACTGTAATTATTTTCCTTTTATGAAAAATAATATAAACTCAGAGAGGTGACGTAACTTGTGTAAGATCACAGAGAAAGGCACATGTGAAGTAAGAAAGGCAGAAAGGCAGATGTAATTTAAATCTCTCTATCCATCCATCCATCCATCCATCCAAAATATATTTAATTATATATATTGTGTGCAAAGCATCATTCTAGGCAGTACAAACACAGCAGTAAACAAAACCAAGTCCATGTCACCATGGAACTTACATTCTGGTGAAGGAGAGACAGTCAATAATAAACAAGTAAGTATGTAATATACCTGAAGGTTACAAGTGCTATGGAGAAAAATTAAGATAATCTCTATTTAGGGAATCTTGACAGTAGAATTTACGGTTGTATCTTAGGTGGCTGGTGATGGATGCACTGATAAGATAAGACATATGAGCTAAGACCTGCAGGCACTGAAAGTGTAAACACCACGGGTATTTATGGTAAGAACAATTTAAGCAGAGGGAACAATCTCTGAGACAGTCATATGTCTGATGAATTTCATCTGTCTCTGTAGCGCACACTTTATTCTATAACAAGCTGCCTTCTTACTCTGTCAGTGAGAGCCAGTAGAAACCTGGAACTGTGAAAAGTCAAATAACCAATCTCAAAATAAAAATTAACTTATCAATGAGGTTGTCTATATATTGCCCTTTTTAAGACTAATGTTATAAAAACTAAATATAAATTTTCAGAATAGTTGAAAAAATAAGAAAAAATTATTATGTAATCAATTAGTAATAAAAGCTGAATTCAATTAGAATAACATAGTCATTTGTGCAATATTCTTATCTAAAATCTTAGAAAATACAAAACAAATATAAAACCTTGTTCTGTTGCACAATTTCTTCTTCAAGATTGCTGATTGTATGTTCATATTCAGAAATTATATTATTTAAATATTTTATTTCTTCTTTATCTTTGACTAATTCTCGATTTAGTTTAAGCTCTTGAAGACGAAGTTCTTCTATTTTCATATGCCAGTTGATTACCTAAGATTTACAATTTATATATACAAATATAAATGCCATATCAACAAACAATATTACTTTATTGATCATAATGATTTTAGTTGAAAGTAATGGTCATTCTAAAGTAAAATAAGACACAATGTTATCTTTTCTCAAGCCACATGACAAATTTTTATTTAGGATTTCCATTGACTTTTCTACAACTGTGGGAACTTACAATAAAATCTTCAAATTATATTGGAATGGACATTACTAACATTCACTTTCATTTTTTTCATTTGTTATATGTTTATTGAACACTGACTATAAGCAGATCATTGAAACATTAGTATTATTTTCAAAAACAGAAATCTTAAATGTTTCTAGCCTAGAGAATAGAATGTAGTTGCAAGATAATTATTTTTCATTCACTTCTTTCTAAATGAAGATAAAACCAAATTATATTAAAAATAAATATGGGCCCACTACTTCTAAATCTAAGATAATTATGAACAGCAGAAATCAATTGATAACTACTACAATGTTTAAGAATAATTATAGTTAGTATTCAATTAATATAAATTTTTCTACAGTATTTAAAATTCCTTGGTATTATACAATCTGAAGATTCCCACTAAAATCTTTGGTTAGAAAAGCCTAATTTTATTTTTACAAATAATAGACATTCAAATAGCCAACACTGCTAAGTTACAAAATCTATATTAATGAATCATAATTGGAATTTGATTGTGTCTTAAGCATATTTTATATAGGCACATATTAAGAAATTCTTACGTAACTCTTTTGAAAACAATGAATTTAAAATTGGCTGGGCATGGTGGCTCATGCCTGTAATCTCAGCACTTTGAGGAGACCAAAAGCAGGAGGATTACTTGAAGCCAGGAGTTCAAGACCAGCCTGGGTGACAAAGTGAGACCCTGTCTCTACAAAAACTTTTAAAATTTTAAAAAGTTAGGTAGGTATGGTGGTATGCACCTGTACTCCCAGCTACAACTACTCAGAAGCCTGAGGCTGGAGAATTACTTGAGCTCAGGAGTTCCCATTATGTTTACACCATTGAACTCCAGCCTGGGCAACAGATCAAGACCCTGTCTCTTAAAAAAAAAAATCAAGATTAAATGTTTACCTTTTGGGCTCCCTTGGTATCCTTTAAAGTGCTTATCAACTCTTCCAGGCCCTTTAATTTTAATTCCATCTCCAGTGTTTTGTTCTCCATATTTCTATGTTCTTGTTGAGAATTTTTCATTTCTTGCATTATCTTAAGTTTGTCATTTTGTAGTTGAATCATTGTTCTAGAGAACTTTTCCTGTTGTGCCAAGGGTAAAGCTCCACTAAACTGTCGTCGCAGAGACTGAATTGTTTGGCGCAGATGTTTTGCTCTGTTTCTCCCCTCCAAACGAGCATAATAGAGAGCCTGTTCTTTTTCATCAAGTTTCTGCTCTAAGCGCATATTGTAAGCCTCCGTCTTCTGCAGTTTATATGTAATTGACTCCAACTTACCAAGAGCAGTAGCCTCACTAAGTTGAAGAGAGACATTATGTTGGTGCAACTTGGCAATCAGTGCCTTTTCATCAGACTGTGCCTAATATGAAAAATATAAATGTGTGTAGTAAGTTTCAAGTTTTCCAATGAAGCTTATCACAGATTTAAAATCACAATTTACTAAACAAAGTTTTAAAAGAGTGGCACATGAGATCTACAAAATACAACTTTGCTTTAATACAAATAATTACCAAAGAATTGTAAAAGAAAAAACCAAGAATCAAACTTAAAATCCAAATGTAACTGAGTAACAGTGGGTATGTTACTGTTTTTTTTTTAACTTCCACTGGTTCAGACAATGCATATGTTTTTATAATTCCCAACACATATAATGTAAGAATATGTAAAAAGCTACATATAAATACGAGAGAAAATATTGTTATTAAATATTTACTAATTACTCTTTCTCAGGATCCTAATTTTGATCAGTAGCACGATTTGTCTATAGGCATTTAAATGCTGAACTGGATTACTGAACAGTATTTCAAATTAAAGAGTTTTCTAATTAGGTTCCAACTAACAAGAATAACAGCCTCTTGTTGGTGTATCTTCTGATTAAAAATGTAACACTGGGCTGGCATGGTGGCTCACACCTGTAATCCCAGAATTTTGGTAGGCCAAGGTGGGCAGATCATTTTAGCCCAGGAGTTCCAGACCAGCCTGGGCAACGTGGTGAAACCCTGTCTCTACAGAAAAATAAAACATTAGCCAGACGTGGCGGCAAGTGCCTGTAGTCTCAGCTGCCCAACAAGCTGAGGTGGGAGAATCACCTGACCCCAGGAGGTAAAGGCTGCAGTGAGCCTTGAATGTGCCATTGAACTCCACTCTGGGCAATGAATGAGAGGCTATCTCAAAACAAACAAACAGAAAGTGTAACACATCCTACTCCCAACATCTACTGTAAATTTAGGAAAAAAAGTGGATAGAAGAGCCAATACTACACATACCTGATAGTCTAGCAGTTGCATTCTGAGGGATTCCACTTCCTTTTCCCTAGACTGTTGCTGTGCATTCAAAATTTCAACTTGCCTTCTGGCAATATCAGAAATTTCTCTCAGTCTAGAAAATAATCATATATTTCAGGAACAATTAAGTACACTTTCTAAGTAAATACCAAATTTAAGAATTTCTAGACCCTTTTCCAAAAAGCCATTCATTTTCAGCATCTATCTCTTCTTCGTATGAAACATGAAAACAGGGTTTCTTAAACTGTTTCATGGAACATAATTCCATGAGAGGTTATCATGTTTGCTATTTAAAAAAAAAAACCTTCATTCCCAACATCCCTCCTCCCCCTTGACTATTCATAACATATATTCAGTGCTCTCAGAGGTTCTATCATATATAATTCTCTCAGATCATACTTACTATATAGCATTTTCCAAACATATATGGCCAAAGAACTTCTGTCCCACACTTTTTTCCATAAAACATTTATTGTCATAATTTGGAATATGCTAGGATAAGGTATTTAGTACATTTATCTAATACCATCACACAGTTAAGAATACAGAAATATAAAATTTCTAAAATACTTAAATGGATTAATGTATGTTTTAACCTACAAGTTATCAGAAATGAGAAAAGAAACAAAACATGCATTTAATAAAATTACAAAAAAAGTGTTAGTTTAATGGTAATAACTCCTTCAAATTCCCTTACGAATACTGTGACAAGTCAACATAGGCAAAGCAAAATATAAAGTTTCTTTGTTTTGGGCTAGAATTATTTTAGTTCTGTGTTACAGATAAGACAGATTTCCTCATACTGATCAGATGCTCTCATTGTCAGTTGCATGATTAACAAAATATGATTAAAATGAACTATTATAATTAGTTTATATCAAAAGAGGTCCAAGAGAAGAAAGGACCAATTTTTTTAAAAAAGGGTCTTTCATAGTGAAAAAGATGTCAAAAATTGATATTCCCAACAGAACTATCAGGCTCCAAAGGAATGGCTATATTTTTATGAGTAGGTCATAAAATACTTTAACAATTTATGCTTGACAGATTAACTAAGTGGTCCTTATACTTTTCTACTGAAGTATCACCTAATTACAAAAGAGAATGAAAATACAGCATATAGCTGGCACACAGTATTTACTCCTTATATATATTTTGTGTTCTAAACTAGTAGGAAATATTTATTCATGTAAAATAAAAACAAAATATAGCCTCAAGGTTAAGTATAATTGTAGACATTTAGTAACTTGCACAGTGCGTAGTACATAGTAAATGCCCAATAAATGTAAACTAAATCAAAATCTGAATTTTTTTTATCATATTCTTACAGCAACTTTATGAACCAAGTAGAAGAGGTACTATTATTTCCTTATTAAGGTGAAGAAATTTAGGTTTAAATACACTAAATAACCATTCCTTATCCATCACCTCTTTCCCAAAAAATCAGTATGTGAAAGAACTGGACGTTTCTGCAATAATATTCCTGAACTCTAAAAAATGTAAATCTTGAGAGGTCACTTTCTCTTTAAAAATATTATCCTCATTAATATTATTATTTAACCCTGTTAAAACCAATCTTAATATTACTTAATCCTGTTATTATAAAAATAAATCAGTATCAATTACCACTACAAATATTATCCTTGTATACTTGTAATTGGGCTTCTCAAAGACAAATTAGAGGAGATACATCCAGTCAAATGACTAAAATGATTATATGCACTTACTTTGACACTTCAACTTTTAGTTCCATTTCATTCTTCTCTAATTCTAGAATCCGTTGCCTATCAGCATCACTTACTGCCTTGCTCACACTATCAGCTAATTCATCTCTTAACATCTGTTCCACCTTCTGTGCATCCAAATTGATTTTGGTAAGCTAAGAAAATGCAACAAAAAATGTTCAAATACATCAATTTTGGGTGAGATTTTCCTTGTAATTTAGCTTTTAAAGAACTGTAATCCTCTTTATTTGACCTTAGTCCAGATATTAAATTGAGTGTGAAATGTTAAGAACAGAATGAAGGAGGGTAAAAGACGAAAGAATCAGAAACAAATTATGGAAACTCCGGTTATATTCCAATCCACCAAAAGTCATTTTTATTAGGCAACTCATTATATAATGATATCTGAACTTGTAATATTCTTACTTTGTTTAGCATGCAATCTGCTCATTATATTTTATTTCAATTACATTACCTACAAAGAAAGCCAAATGAGTTAATAAAATCTTATTCATATAGATTTAGTAACATAGTTAAAACAAAAATGATATAAATGCTTTGGAAAACATTAAATCTCAAGGTATGCAAACACTGTAAGAGTTGTGTTTAATCATAAATTGTTAAATACTTGCAAACTACATGTACTGTCACGCAGTTTAATGATTCTGACCACATCAAAAATATAAAACCTCCAATTAGAATGTAAAGTCCCTGAAAGTAGAGATTACTGTCTTGTTTTGTTTCTTGCTTATACTCCCAGTCCCAACATAGGGTCTGACATGTAATAGGCAATGAATAAATATTTGTTAAATGAAGGGATGGTGGTGAAAGGCAATTCCATTGTTTAGTAAATAACATTTCATATATTAAATCTAACAATATAACATTGGTGAGAAACAAGAACTTACAGAAATACTTTCTTTTGTTTTAAACAATTCAGATTTAAATCTTTTATGTATTCATTACATGAAACACAGCACTATATTAATAAGCTATTTCAGAGATACAAACAAACCTCTTAACAATAATACAATGTCTACCAAGACTAATACTTATTCTCTAATTTATGATAAAACATATCAAACCTCAGCAAATTTGGTTTCCAATTCAAAATTACGTTCATCCATCTGCTTTAATGAAGTCCGTAAGTGTTCATACATTTTTTGACAATGTTCAGCCCTCTGTCTTTCATTTAATTCCTTCATTTCCAGCATAGTTATTTTTTTTGAAATAGAAACAATGTCACTGTTGGTTATTGATTTCTTTGCCTTATCCATATTAGATTCATTACCTATATGCAATAAAATACTTAAGTCAATCTCATGTTGTTTATATTAAAATTATCTCAGATATTTTAGATGCTGTATATAAGAAAGCAGTATAGTTCTATGGAAAGCACATTAGCTTTCCAAATTCTATCAAACCTGGACTCTAATCTCAGCTCTGTTATTTCCTGACTGTTTGATGTCTATACCATTTAATCTCTGTGGAACTTAATGTTCTTCATCAATCAAATGATTAAAGAAAAAAACACCTATTCCTCCCTCACAGAATTGTGGAACTAACAATAAAGGACTTAGTGTAGAGGTATCACATATAATAAATTTTTTAAATGGCAAGTAAACATTTTGCTGAAACGAGATAAACTATATGAGAAGCAATGGAGTAAAGCAAAATGACTGTGAATATAAGTGTAATGATTTGATTTTTAATCTCATAGAGCTGAAAAGTAAAATATGAAACCATATGATTGATAGATTCTACCAAATATAATCTTGTCTAACTATGAGTATTATTTGGTCTTTGTACCGACATGGTTTGGCTGTGTCCCCACCGAAATCTCATTGTGCATCTAGTTCCCATAATCCTCATATATAGTAGGAGAGAGTCAGTGGGAGGTAACTGAATCGTGGGGGTGGTTTCCCTCATGCTATTCTTGTGAGAGTCTTCCTGCCACTATGTAAAGAAGAAATGTGTTTGCTTTCCCTTCTGCTATGATTGTAATATCAATACAGACCTAATATCAAATATTTTATATTTTTTTATTAGTTGTCATGCCTTAATCATATATATGTAGTTATTTAGCTTGTCTTTGGACACAAAAGTCTGTGGCTAAATGGAAAGAGAATTAAAAGCCAATTTACCATAAAAAGGCATAGCATAGGAGTGTCATTAGTTAGCCATTTTTTGAGGAGGAGGAAGAAAACATACTTTTGCTTTGTATAACAAACATGGTCCAGAAAAAACAAAATTTGGTAGAGTGTTTTGCTTTTCAGCAACTTAAAATTCATGTGTGTTTAGGGTAGCCAATTATTTAAAGGAACAAAGCAACTCAGCACCAATTCATTTTGTAAACAGCCTTTGACAATACCATTACTGCCCCCTCCTATTTTTCCAGCTTCATAAGTTAGAGTTTTATAACTGGGTTTTCTCAAAGTAATATATATTTCCTGAAAAAAAAAAAGGTCTCTATCTTGGTTTTAAAAAGTACTTCATTATGTTCTGTATTTCTCTTTAAAATTTATTATTTTAGAATAGCTATTGGAAGCAGTAATCAAGTAACTAACAATAATGGATCACTAACAGGAGCTAAGAGTGTTAGTAAATTAGTTCATTACGGAATAAAGACTCATTCAAGTAATCTTAAGCACCATATAGAAAAATACTGCACTAAATGCCAATATATAAAGGAGTCCTTCTCCATTCTGCATTGTGCTAAACTCTGATAAGAAGAGAAAAGCACATTACAGGGGCTGAAGCAGATTGGCCATCTTATGTGTTCTAGGGTTTGGAGTTTTCTTAAAGAGAGAGTAGAGCACAACAGCCAAACACTAATAAATTCCTAGATGAAAAAAAGTTAATGATGTGACATTTTTAAACAAAAATATAAGGGCAACAGGGAATAAAGAAACACTCTTTAAAACTTAGGTGATGTAAATCCTTATATGGAATAGATTAAGACACATGAAAATTAAAGAATTCCTGTAGGGAATTCAGCATTTTTAAAAAATAAAGATGATGAAATAAAAAGAAGCTACTAAAATTGTATGAAATACTCTTTTAGGTCTTCATTTAAATGATATCTTCTTCCATGTAAATACTACACAAAAGCCAATTCATATTTAATCTTTTATTGAGGCAAAAATTACATTTCTTAAAGTAGCTTATCTAAGATTTCTCAATGTTAGGCTTCTCTAAACCAAGTGTCTAATTACCAATTTAAGAGAAAAGTTGTATGTAGTAATAAAAACCTTGAATAGCTCTAAGGTTTAGGAAACAAACAAAGGAAAATACCACATCCAAAGCAGCAAATTTATTTGAAAATTATGAAGCACAATGAATGAGATAAAATTATGAAAATCCTACAAACTAGGATAACTACTACTTGAAAAATTAATATGGAAAACTAAAGATTTTAACACCTTCTGAAACAGTAATATCTCTGTTAGATATACATGAAAATGTTCACTGTGACATTATAAGCAATAGCAAAAATATTAAAGGGTAGTGATTTAATCACTCAAACACTGTAGGATATTGCATAGGTATTTACAAGTGTGATGAATAAAACACAATTTTTTTTTTTGAGACAGAGTCTTGCTCTTGTTGCCCAAGCTGGAGTGCAGTGTCGCAATCTTGGCTCACGGCAACCTCTGCCTTCTGGGTTCAAGCAATCCTCCTGCCTCAGCCTCCTGACTAGCTAGGATTCCAGGTGCCTGCCACCATGCTTAGCTAATTTTTATACTCTTAGTAGAGATGGGGTTTCACCATGTTGCCCAGGCTGGTCTCAAACTCTTGACCTCAGGCGATCTGCCCGCCTCGGCCTCCCAAAGTGCTAGGCTTACAGGCGTGAGCCACCGCGCCCAGCCACAAAAATATTTTTGATATTACTATCTAAATACAGTATAGAACAATGTTTACAATAATTTAAAATATATAAAATATGTAAGCATATAGCAGCAAAAATATACGGTAATATAGTAATGAAACTATGAGAAATACAACTTCTCCAATTTTCTTTGACGTTTCCTGGTGATCTTTTCATTTAAAAATATCAAGTGATATATAACTAATATAACTTGCATTAAGTGAAAGAAATCATAATACCATTATTAAAATATCCTCAGTTTTAATTGTTAAATGGTTCAAAGTAGCTAATGCTTAGTCATAAATTTTTAACATGTATAATTTCATTAGAAACAAATCTAACTTAAGGACTAAAAACCAAACTTTGGTGGGAGCAAGTATGGGATTATTCATCTGCCTAAGTAAAACTGTTAGGCAGAAAGTTCTTTTTGTAGTCAAAATATTTTTTTAATCTAGTATAAAAAAGGAACATTAAAAAATATTCACTATTAGATGTTAATCATTTTATATTATCAGAGTTATAAGACTTACCTAATTTAGTTTCTTGTTCCCAGGCTTGTTCAATAGTGTGAAGTTTTTCCTTGGTAATCTCCAGTTCTTTATTTATAGACTCCATTTGTTCTTTTAAGGAGGCATTTTCACACTGAATAAAAGAAAAATGTCATTAAGCAACTATACTGTCATTCAGATCAATAGTACAAAATGACATAACATCTCCTTAAAACTCACAATCTAGATTACAAAATTAGAATTTCCTCCATATATAATACATACGCATATACATACATATATGTAATACATGTATACATATACATAATACGTGCATACATATATGTGTACATATCTATACATATATACATATATATGTAAAATACATGTATACATATACACACTGATTTGGTTTGTCTGTGTCCCCACCCAAATCTCATCTTGCATTGTAGTTCCCATAATCCTCATATATTGTAGGAGGGACTCAGTGGGAATCGTGGGAGTGGTTTCTCCCATGTTATTCTCGTGATAGTAAGTTCTCAAAAGGTCTGATGGTTTCATAAGGGGCTTCCCCCTTTGCTCCACTCACATTCTTCTCCTTCCTGCCACTATGTGAAGAGGAAACATGTTTTCTTCCCTTCTGCCATTATTGTAAGTTTTCTGAGGCTGCCCTAGCCCTGTGGAACTGAGTCAATTAAATCTCTTTCCTTTACAAAGTACCAGTCTCAGGTATTTCTTCACAGCAGCAGGAAAATGGACTAATACATATATATATATATATATATATATATATATATATATATATATATAAAATGTAAAATATTTATATATATAAAATGTAAAATATTATTTTAAAATAATTATCAAAATCCTGTGTTATCCAACAAAGGATTTTGATGTACTCAATTTCTAAATATTAGCTTCTGCCACTAAAGCTGTACATTCCTTTTGGCTAAGCTGTAATACTCAAGAGTTTTCCAATCTTTACAAAACTAGAGCTTCCTTCCTTCATGCACACTGTTGCTGAGTGTCCTAGTATGCCATCAGCGACAGATGACAGATGTTCATAATGAAAAGAAATACAAAATTCTGGCCTTCAGAGTTCTGCCCATTCAGTCCCTATGTGTGTGTGGGGGTGGGGGTGGGGGGTGGTAAGATATGGCCAGAGTGTGAAAGGCAGCAGATAATAAGCAAGTAAACAAACAAAAAATCTATTAAAAATGTCAACATTGGCTGATCGTGGTGGCTCACACCTGTAATCCCAGCACTTTGGGAGGCTGAGGCAGGTGGATCACTCGAGGTCAGGAGTTCGAGACAAGCCTGGCCAACATAGTAAAACCCCATCTCTACTAAAAGTACAAAATTTAGCCAGTCATGATGGCCTGTTCCTGTAATTCCAGATACTCAGGAGGCTGAGGCAGAATTGCTTGAAACTGGGAGGCAGAGGATGCAGTGAGCCAAGATCCTGGGAGGCAGCGGATGAAGTGAGCTGAGATCTTGCCACTGCATTCCAGCCTGGGCAACAGAGCAAGACTCTGTCTCAAAAAGAAAAAAAAAGGCCAATATCAGCCATTGCAGTGGCTCAGGCTCACACCTGTAATTCCAGTATTTCGGGAGGCTGAGGTGGGAGAATCATTTGAGTCTAGGAGTTTGAGAACAGCCCAGGCAACAAAGTGAGACCTCATCTCTATAAAAAATATAAAAACTCAGCCAACCGTGGTGGTGCATGCCTGTAATCCCAGCTATTTGGGAGGCTGAGTTCAAGATCAGCCTGGCCAATGTGACGAAACCCTGTCTCTATTAAAAATACAAAACTTAACCAGGCATAGTGGCACATGCCTGTAATTCTAGCTACTCAGAGGCTGAGGCAGGAGAATTGCTTGAATCTGGGAGGCAGAGGTTGCAGTAATCCAAGATCGTGCCACTGCCCTCCAGCATGGGTGAAAGAGTGAGATTTCATCTCAAAAAAAAAAAAAAAAAAAAAAACTCTTGAGGAAAGATAAAAAATATTCTTTGAGAAAATGATAACGTTAAAAATCATTCATGTATACATTATCTACAAGACATCTCTTGACTAGGGCTTTCTAATGCTCTATAGGATAGGACAAAGGACATGGAGAATGGAAAAAAATAAATTATTACCATACCTAAAAAGGCAGAATTTTATATAAAAATTAACATAATCACCTCTCTTTGGCAAAGCAGCAAAAAGCAAACTGATCATGACTACTTCTAAGTAATATTGATAAACATGTCTCATAATTTAGTAGGAGTCATGAAAGCTACTCAGAACAATGTTTTCATTTACTGAATGTGTCTCTCTGAGCCAGCAAAGCTTTTGAGCTAATAGAATTAGATCTTATTCTACTCCTGTGCGAGGATCTTAGATAAGAATAATCCAAAAGACCCAAGCCCCTATTTCAGATTAGGAAGACGAACAAATCAGGAACTTGTTCTGTCTGCAGTAAAAGGTATGGAGTTCAAGTGGCTATATGAGAACTGTAAAGGGTCTGAGCCATATTCACCGATTGTAACTTATGATACTCTACTCTAGTCCTTTCTACTTCTACAATAAAAAATGATGAGAATTTACAGAGTACATCGATGATCCAGGAAGAGCCCTTAACATTTCAGTAACTGCTGGCTACATCCATTCCAAAGAACAAAATCCAGGGACCACAGGAGAATAGTTTGCTCTGGGTACAGGGGTAAGAGAAAGGGATGGGTACTGAATGGGTACTTCCTTCCTTTGATTACAATATTCTACCGGTTTCATGCTCCTTTTTCTCTTTGATGTCTGGTTGAAAGAGGTTTGATTCAGCTAAATCATGCAAGTGACCTCAGGAGAATGATCTAGATAATCATTCAGAAGTATTTTACCACTATAGATAGATAATATGTGTCTGTGTTGATATTTGGGAACAAAATATTTATAACTAAACCGAATGAATAATATGGATAATTATATCTCTGCTAAATTTATGTAAATGCAGACAAATTTTAACTAAAATCTGCCAAATCCATCCAAACACAAAGATATTGAAGAAAAATGACTAATATCACAAGGTTCAAGGATCACACAAACTTACCTCTAGGTGTTCCAAGTTACTTGTCCTTTGAACAAGCATATTATCTTTTTGCAAGATGTCCCTGTACTTAGCAGTCAGTTCATTGTATTGTTTATTAGCCAGTTCTAGTTCAGATAAAGAGACACTATTATCTACAACTTTTTGGAGAGCTGCAATCTTGAAAATGGCCATTTCCTATGTAAATAAAGATACACTGAGTTATGCTGGTGCCTTTTTTCTGGTCAAGCACTAGCCACTTTTGAGAAAGATAATACAAGATAATACAACTGAAAGCAAAACAGATTTTAAAACCATTTTAAAAATATGTGATTTCCCATGTTACAAAAGCATGTCTGTTAATCAATGTAAGTGCAAAATATAACTAGAAAATTATGATGTTTGCAACTCCTAATAATTGAATTAGGCAACAATCATCAGTGGATGCTAAAACCATTAGGACTGATATATAATTTGTTATTTGTATGGTACCAAATTATTACCAGTTAACTAAATTGCTTAATAATGGAGGTATATGGTTGTCTTTTCTTCTTCTTCTTTTTTTATTTTAAAAAAGAGAGAGACTCACTCTGTTATATAGGTGCACAGGCTAGAGATCAGTGGCACATGATCATGGCTCTCTGCAGCCCAACTTCCTGGGGTTCAAGTGATCCTCCCACCTCAACCTCCCAAGTAGCTGGGACTACAAGCATGTGCCACCATACCCAGCTAACTGAAAAAAACAACAACAAAAAAAACCTTTTTGTAGAGACGGGGTCTCACTATATTGCCTAGGCTGTTCTCAAACACCTGGGCTCAAGCAATTTTCCTGCCTGCAACGTGTTGAAATTACAGGCGTGATCCACCACACCGGTCTGCTTGTCTTTTCCTTAACACAGTAATCAATTACAAATATGGAACAGGCAGATACTCTTGAAGTGATGCAATATAAAGTATAGAGCATTCCTTATGACATATTCTTGCCAAAAATATTTAAACCTAAATCTAACCAAGGGTTCTGACCTTACTTTTAGTAATACAAGGGACAGAGAAACAAGTAAAATCAGACACACACACACACACACACCAGATATATCTTCAAACATTTTTCAGAGAAAAAAAGGGGTATCCTACATTAAAAAGATTATGACATGTAATATCCAAATGCTTATTCCTTGATTGGAAAATGTAGGAAATGTGACTAAAATCTGGGTATTAGGCAATATTAAAAAATCATTGTCAATTTTGTTAGATATAATAAAGTTACCATGGCTATGTAAAGAAAAAAGGTTTTCTCAAAAGGGTACAAAAATATTTAGGGGAGGAATGTCTGCAATTCAAACATTCCTACAAAAACCAGAGAAGCAACTATGGCAAAGTGTTAATAAATATTAACTATTCATTTAGGTGATAAGCATTATTGATACCATCCCACCTTCTTCATATTTGAAATTTTTCATACTCAGAAAGAGCAAAGTAAGAATCAGATGTACCTTAAATCTTTGCAAACATCCAATTTTTTCACAAACTTCAGCCTCCATTGAAAACAATTCATTCTTTTGTTTCTCATTTTCTTTTCTAAGTTGTCGCTCCAATTCTACTAAGGTTGTATATTGCCTTATAAGTGATTTTTCATTCACTTGCAAAACAGTAATTTTCCTACTATTTTCTGCAAGTATTTTTTTCATTTCATCCGAATCCATCTGTAGAACACTGAGCAAATTCTGCACAAAGATACATCCATATTACATGTGGAATTTGGCTATCCTAGTTTGTATAATACTGTATAGTTATGTTAAAAATGTTTTACTAACATTATATTCTTTTACTTTTATAGCATCTTGTTGGACTTGATCCTCAAGTTTTCTCTTTTCCTCTTTTGTTGTTTTAGATTCTGTTTTCCAGGTCTCCTTTGCACTAAAAACAAAACAAAACAAAAACACAATACTGTAAACCTAATAAAATGTTTACAAGAAAACTTCAGATTATACAAATTTAAAGTTTTCTTAACACAAGAGATATCATAGCTATTCAGCATCTGAAAACACAAGAAATTAAAATTTAATTGAAATGGGTTTAGCCTAGAATTAAAATTTTTTTAATAAATGCAAGGCAACAAAGTTATCAACTTATTTTTGTTCTTCCCTGATTCACCACTAAAAGGGATATAATATAATTGAAGCTGAATCTTACCAATATTTTATTGAAACTAGAAAAAAAGTAGGAAAATAATACCCCATACTAATTCTAGAAATCAAATTCCAACATTCTGACCCCAGTCTCAAATTTGGGTGTTAAATGCTTATAAAATATTTTGAATACAAACACATCACAAGTAATTAACTTAAAGGAAGATGTATAAAGGACACAAAATTTGAGTTAAGAATAGTTCAAGAGATCTTATAATAGTGACTAAAGTTAATAACCGTATATTATATACTTTAAAATTGCTAAGAGAGTCTACTTTAAGTGTTCTCACTACAAAAAAAAAAAAAAAAAAAAAAGAAGTATGCTGTAATCCCAGCAACTCAGGAGGCTGAGGCAAGAAAATAACTTGGATCGGGAAGGTAGACGTTGCAGTGAGCCCAGGTATCACCACTGCACTCCAGCCTGGGTGACAGAACAAGACTCTGTCTAAAAAAAAAAAACCCCAAGTAACTGAGATTATACATATGTTAAGTAGCTTGATTTAGCTATTCCATAGTATACATATATAGAACACCATGTTGTATACCATAAATTCTTACTTTTGAATTTCCAAAGTAATTTAAAACATATTTATATACAAATTCAATTTTTTTTATTTTGTCTACACATGAACACTCCACAACCATCTGTAATGTTCTTGGGATAAACCCATTATAGTGGTATCATTCTCTTTGCTGCTGAATGGTTCAGACTTGGGCATGTGACCCAATTCTAGCAAATGAGATCAGAGTGAACATCTGCCAGATATCACCAGAAAAAATGTTTATTTAAAAACAAAACCTATGTGGATAAAAATGCTCCTCTTCTCAATGGGCACAGTTCCATCTTTCTTGAATTCATGCAGCTATTTTACAACCATCATAGGTGATAACAACAACCCTGAAATATGACCTGCCCTATAATTAGCTTTGTGGTTCTGTTTAGGTCAGATAATAATTATTCTTAGTGTCTGAATCACCTTTGTGTAGGTATTCTAATTCCTAGTAAGGAAATCATTCTATTGATATAGAGAAGATGACAGAATAAGGAGAAATATGTTAGTTTCCTAGAAACATATATGAACAAGGATGATGGTGATGATGATGATGATGTATGATGCTAACAACAGCTAACATTTACAAACTGGTCATATGCGCCACACACTTGTCTCGCATTTTCATCTAATTCACTTACATTTTATTACAATCCTATAAAAAGGGTATTACTTGCAAAGAAACTTACAGATAAGGAAACTGAGACACAGATAGGTGAAACAACTTGCTCAAGCTCTTATTAAAAGCAAATATTAAAGTCTAGATTCAAACCCAGGCAGGATAATCCCAGGCTTAATGTAATCAATACCCTACACTGTCTCTATAAACATGTACTTGACAGTAGTTACCAGAGTAAAATAAAATACAAAAAATTGGAAAGGAAGAAGCAGAAGGGAAGAACAAAACAAAATAGCAATTATTTTTATGTTACTTTCACGATGAACAAGAATATACTGCAATTGTATTTATAAAGTTTTGCTAATACCTATACCTTAGATATTCTTTATACAACAAACTTTGTTGATGACGAATTACAGCAAATTTTCTGTTATAGTCTTCAAGAGATTCTTCTAAATTCTTTAACTTTTTTTCTTTATTTTCTAGTTCCTGAAAAGTGGTTTAGAAATAAGAATGCAAAAAAAAATCAGAATACATTTTGAATTTGAAATTATAAATTCATATTCTGACAATGTTATAGAAAAGTTAAAAGTCACCAAATCCTTAAGCAACACAGATCATTTTTCTGTATTTTGAACATTTTAGTTTAAGGCAGAAAACAGAGTACTAAACAACAAGTAAAATTATTTTTATCATGTATGATAGTTGCAATTAGCACACAAATGTCCAGATCATAAACTTTTATTAGGTAGAATAGTTACAAATTTATCTCTAGTCACTTGGCCACATACTCTCTTGTGAACACATAATTTCATACCCTTACTCAAATTATCCTTTCCAATTATTTCATTTTAAAGATAAAATTGAAACTTAAAGAGGATTAAATAACTTACTCAATAGCCAAAAATTCATTAACAGTAATTTGGCAATCATTTTTATCAAGCAAATATGCCAGGCTTGTTGTCAGGGGCTTTCCATACATACAGATCCAACATTTGAGGTCAGATCTGTCTGACTCCAAAGGTCTTGCCACGCTTATAGCTTTATATAGCATTAGGACTGAGAGCCCAAGTACCTGTTTTGCCAGTTTGACCAGGTTTTCAGATCCCAGTTGGTACTCTCTAATCTACTACAATGCTTCTCATATATTTCATGATAAAAAACATGGATTTTATCTCAAAAAATACAATAATGCCATACTACCAATATTTGCTAATTGTGTCCCCATACCTCAGACAAATAAGAGAAATAATAGTGTTAAAATTACAAATTTAAAAATAATATATATTATAACACAATATTCTAATAAGTAATTAAGGCTGTCCCTACCTGACTTAGATAACATAAAAATCCCAATATTGAGAAAAAAATGAATTACTGTAATTTTTCAAATAAAAATGAGTAATAGTTATAACACAAGTATACTCACAAATGGATCACCTAGCAGAGGGAAACAGTGGTACTTATAATCAAATGTATTATTATATTTGTAATGTATGTGATATTACTGATAGTCAAACTTCAAATAAAATAATGAAAAGGATCTGTCAATTAGGACATTCATAATGACCATATATAGACAGCAAAACTGAGAGACAAATCCAGGGCAAGCAGTATAGTACAGTATCCTTTCTTCTTTGGTGGTGCATTAACTAACATTTTATTGGGTAAATGGAAGAAAAAGATAAGGAACAATTTGGTTTAGATGTTTTTACTTGTGGCCAGGTGCAATGGCTCACATCTGTAATCCTAGCACTTTGGGAAACCAAAGCAGGCCAAAGAAGGCAAGTCACTTGAGGCCAGGAGTTTGAGACCAGCCTGGCCAACATGACAACACACCAACTCTACTAAAAAAACACAAAAATTAGCCTGGTGCAGTGATGCATGCCTGCAGTCCCAGCTACTCAGGAGGCTGAGGCACGAGAATCACTCAAACTCAGAAGGCGGAGGCCACAGTAAGCTAAGATCACACCACTACACTCCAGCCTGGGCAACAGAGTAAGACTCTGTCTCAGAAATAAAAAAAGGACCTTTTACTTGTGATCACAAAAAGAGAAACAATTCTATCATGACACTAAAAAGCTTTGCCAGAGTTTATTCTTTTGTTTTCCAGATAGCAATAAATAAAACTGCTCATTTACACAACACTGCTTTACAGTAGCTCCTTGTTGTTCTGCATGTGAATCATATATTTCACATTAACGACAGGCATGTGAACATGCTGCTTATGCAGATGAATGGAATGCATGGTATAAATTGCTTTTATTTATAATGTGCCATCTAACATCAAAATCCATAGAAATATATTTCACTGTTATTATTTTGAGAACTCAAAGGAATACATGAAGACTAAATATTAAGAAAAGTACTATCTGCATGCTTTGGTGATGTAAAAATTAAAATAAAGTAAAATAAAAATAAAAATGTAAAGAAACATACTACCAATGATTTTTGTCATTCACATGTAAAATTTTCAATATCTGTAACAAAATTTTTAATACCTGTAATAAATGTATTAAATATTCATTCTGAGAATTAATGATACTGGCACTAGATGGTGCTATCCCATCAGGTAAGTCGACTCCTTTAAAAACAACATTTGATCCTTCTGATTGTCGTAAAAGACTAGTTTCTTTTTCAAGGTGCTCTATCTGGAAAACACAATCCAGCAACGCAAATCACATTTCTTACACCCAAAGAAAGACACATTTAAAAGCAGCAACTTATACTTAGTGCTTTTTCTACTAAACAGATATGTGAATGCCCTGCCAGGAATTACTTAAACCATACTTTAATTTCTGCTTAGAAATGCCTAGGTAAGATTTAGAATTTTTGCTGGTCATGGTGGCTCATGCCTGTAATCCCAGCACTTTGGAAGGCCAAGGTGGGCCCATCATGAGGTAGGGAGTTTGAAACCAGCCTAACCAACACAGTGAAACCCTGGCTCTACTGAAAAAAAAAAACAAAAATTAGCTAGGTGGGGTGGCACACTCCTGTAATCCCAGCTATTCAAGAGGCTGCAGGAGAAGCACTTGAACCTGGGAGGCAGTGGTTGCAGTGAGACAAGATGGCACCACTGCACTCCAGTCTGGGCCATAGAGCAAGACTCCATTTCAAAAAAAAAAGATTTAGAATTTTTGTATTCTTTTTATATTATAAGGTACATATTTTCCACTTAATTTTATAAGAGAAATCTAGTTTCTTAATGTTGAAAGAATTCAAGAGGCATTTTCTCATAAAGCATTCTTCTAAAAAAATTAAAAGTTTCCTATTAAATCTACATTCTTATGTTTAGCATTTTCTTTTATTTAATAAAATTCTCACCTTTAAATTAGCTTTTGCCAACTGCTGTGAATAATTTATAGCCTCTTTCCGAGATTCCCTGAGCTCCTGTCTCAATTCTTCATTTCTTCCAGTAAGCTGATCAACTTGGGCTTTCAAATGCAGACTGGCATCAAAGATTCCTTCTGCATTCTTTGATTCTATAGCCTAGTGAATTTATATTATATATTAGAAATGTGGGGAAAAAAACAGTAAAATCATAGTTTAAAAAGTCTATCTTTAAATAAAATGGACATTTAAGCATTTTCCTATTTCCACTCCTAAGCATGATAATAAAGTATGCCAATTCAAATTCTTATATATGAATCTATAAAACTTTCATTTATATTATCAAGCATAGTAATTACTTCATTACAACAATTAAAAAACATCTAGTTAATCCTTAATAGGCTGGTAGACTAGATAAACAATCAGACAGGAATAAAATGATCAGGGTTCAAATTTTAACCAGTTGCTTAACAGTTAGGCAAGTGACTTAAATTCTCTATACCTTAGCTTTCTTGTCTCTAAAAACAGGGAAATAATGTTAGCTCTGCTCACTACACAGGGTTTTTGTACAGTCAAAATGTGGTAACTTTCTCTGAAATTACATAGCATCTGCATTCAAAGCATGTGCAAAGGAATGGTATAGCTACAATGTTCAATTAAGTGAATTTTTTAGTGCTTCCTCTCCACACAGTTGAAGCATAAATGAAAATACAGGCAAGGTATTCTCTAAGAATAATGATTAAGCAAAAATAATGTACCAAATATTAAAATATTATCAGAGTGGCTTCACTAGCCCAAAATTTCCAGCAGTGGAATACATAAATATATATACACAATGTACACATCTCCATAGTATATACATATAAATATATCCAGATTTTAGAAGAACTGTATGGAAAAGAACTGATAAATGCAAAGTAAGTCTTAAAAAAATGAATGTAGAAGCCAAATAAGGTAAAATGAATAGAACCAAATGCAATCTCCTACTCAGTAAAGAGATCCAGGGTTTAACTCTAGGTAGTAGATTTATAAAAGCCTTCCCTGAAGGAGATTAGAGCAGGTCATGCAGAGTAATAATTTATACTAATTCAAAGAGGATATCAGGAAGATAAAAGTAGGTAGAGGGAGGTACTCTGACTGACAACAAAGTGGTCTAGTCAGTTGTCCTGTTGAGGACTAGCACCGTGGTGTCTACATGGCCTTTGGTAAAATGAGAATGAGTCAGATAGAACTGAATCTGGGGGCAATGAAAATACCCTGTAATAACAAAAAGTGAACTGAAGTGGATAATCCAGAATTATCTGGTCTAAATTGTCATGGATTCTGAATATTTCTTAGAGAAGTATTGTCAGGTGATTTGTGAATTTCAGACAGGGTGTATGAATCTGAAAAACAATGACAATCCAGGATAAAAGTAAATGAAGTCTACGGAAACAGTGGCTCCAGGAAGGCTAAGAGATTGTCAATATAAATAGAAGTTAGAATTTCCTGGGCTATTCACTCTGTTTTCATTTCATTACTAAGTAGAGCTGCCCTTGGAAAATTAAGTTTGATGTGGGACACAGTATCAGGAGTGAGTATCATCACAGACAAAAGATGTTCACATTAAAAAAGCAGTAAGAATCATTTTAAACATTCAAAATGGCAGAGGCTAAACAAAATCACCAATCAGAGAAGGAAAGTCACAATGAGAAAGATAAAATGAGAATCAAACTATTTTCTTGCCTCAGGAAGTTTTTAACATACCAGTATCACTCTCATTCTCTGCTAACATTATAGTGTTGTTGAAAAAAGTATTCAACTTCTGATAAGTCATGATTTTTTTAAAAAAAAGTAATTCAATAAATAATAATTGTTTTCCTATTGAAATTAAGCACAAATTTAGGAAATATAATAATGTATGCTAAATATGTTCAGATGACACATTTTAAAATGACACATTTAAATATTAATAATCTAAAATGTGTATATTATTCAAGTTTATATAACAGATACTGAATCCTGTGAAATTCTCAAGGCCCTACATGCTAAATATAAATAAAATATTATTGATGGCTAAATCTTTCTTGTAGCAATGAGTAAGTCCTTAAACATTTAAAATAAAACCATTTCATAACACTTCTTGTGGCATATGTTCCTAAGAGACCTATACTTCCATATATAAAAAATTAATAATAAAAATACTACCTAAAGATTCTAGAAAATGAACAAAAGCAAGCAGATTTTAAAAAAAACTCAAATGTGTAAGACAAGACCAGCAACGACTGAGTTTGCCATTTGTAAAACTTTAGTCATAGGGCAGGCTACAATTGCAGTGACCTATCATCTTTCTCATCTAGGAAACCAAAGGATAGAGCCCAAAGCCATGGAAAAAGTGAGAGGAAAATCCCAACAAGAAAAGTGCCAGCAAAAATGAGCTCCAAACTCCTCCAGGTCCAAGCTGACCCTTGAACCAAAAGAATACCGATAAAGAGGAAAATGTCAGTGAACCTGAATATAGATTAATAACAATTATCCAATTGGTAGAAGAAGAGATAAAAGATTAGGGGAAAAAAGAGAAAGTATTGAAAGCAGCTAAGAAAAACTACATTTTACATACAGGGAAACAATGATTCAAATGGTTAACAGAAACTATGAAGATCTGTACACAGCAGAAAATCTCTCTAAAGTGCTGGGGGGAAAACATTAACATGAAAAAAATAACTTACATTAACTAGTCTTTCAAGGCTAGGGATAATTAGAGATGTTTCTCCTCCTTTAACATTAGGATCTTTCTGCATTTCCTTAATTGCTTGCAATATTTCTTTCATACCTTCTTCAAGTTGCTTATTTTCTTCAACTAATTCTTTTACTGTAATTATATAGGTTTTTTTATTGGATGATTAGATCTTTTCTTTACAATTTACAGTATTCTATAGAGATGATGAATATATCACACATACCAAAGAAATCATTGGAAAAATGCAAATATAAATAAACATACAAAAAAATTCAACTATAAATCCAATGTGAATAGTTGAGTTAAATGACAGATCTATTTATATCATGTGCATATACACACATATCTCAACACTGGAAGAAATAAATCACAGGCATACTTTTGCCATAACATAAACTATGCTTTATATTAAAGTATTTTAAATTTGATGTTGTAAACTCACTTTGATTAAAGAACACACAAGATAAATGAGTTACATATCCTCACAAAAAAATCTTATTAGTTAACATTCTCTGACAATGAAAATAGCAAGGCAAACCAACTGGATGAGTAACAGACTCAGACTTAAGTATATACAGTACAGAGGTAATCAGGAGTAAAACAGATTAGAAAAAAGAGAATGTGTTAACATTCTTTCAGGTCCATGATTTTAAGTATAGGAAAATAAGAATAGAAAACTAAAAGACAATTGTAACTTACATTTATTCTGAAATTTGGCTATTACCGTTCTACTTCTTTCTAAATCTCTTTCTTTTTCAATTAGTTCTCTTGAAAGAAATTCATTCTGACAAAAGTACAGAGAATAAAATTGATTTTTTTCAACAAAATATCACAATAGTCTATAGTTTTCAGGTTTAGAAAAGTTTGATTAATTAGGTGTAACAACAAAAAAACAAGCTATGAAACATAGCAGCAATCATAAAAATATACTAAAATCTAAACAGAAGGTGATTTTCCTCCCACTCCTCCCTTTCCCAACACCCACCATAAAAGGCAAAAAAAATAATGGTTTTTGTCTTTAGTACCACAATCATCTCTTTTAATGTTCTGCCTTTACACTACCTGTTCTGCCTGGTTTTTATGACGTTCAAGCTCTATTTCTGCTTTTCTACTCTGTGCTTCTTTGATCAATAAATCCTGTGCTATGATTTCATTCTAAAGAAAATTTTAATAAATTAGACAAGTCAATGGGTTCATACCAATGTACTGCATTTTAGATTTTAGATTTTAAAAAGTACAATGTATATAATTCGTGTTAAAGTACAAACAAAAGTATTCCTACTATAATTGTTACAGAATGTTGTTAGAGAAGTCATAAAGGAGCAACCCAAGAAATATAATTTGGAGGAAAGCTCACCTGAGATCTAAGAAATACTAGTTCTCTCCATAGCTGTTCTATAAGATTTTCAAGAGGATCTATCTGAGATAATTTTGATTGTGCAGTAATAGACACAGGTTCTGGAAGATTAACCTCAAGCTTATTTTTTAATATCTCTGTCTGTAAGGGTGCTTCACTTTTTATTACATCTTCTTTCAAATTGATATCAGCATACTTTATTTGGGTATGAACCTGTTCTTCTAATGCTGCTACTTGTGATTTATCCATGTCAGCTCTATTTTCATGAATTTGTTGACAAAATATTGCATATTTTTGCCTAAGTGATAATTTCAGCGTTAAGTCTGAAGCTGTTGATAAACCGTGAAAAGATGAATTGCATTTTTGTCCAAAACTAGTCTTCTCTACTGCTTGATGGCTTCTTGACACTTTCTTCACAGAATCATCAGAAAAACAGTATACATCATTTATTTCTTCATGGCTTTCCCTACCAAAGGTGCTGACTAACGATTCTAGATTTCTTGAAGACTGTAGACACGGTGCTTTAAAAATCTCTCGTATTCTAATAGTTTCTGGAGTTGAATTATCTTTTACTTGCATGGAGGAAGAATGTCTAGTTAAAGAGACAAAAGGATGCATTCCACTTTCTACACTACGGTGAATTTCAGGTAACATTCTTGATAATGATCCTATGGTCATATTCTCTTCTGGCTCATTCTGATCTGACTGTGGGGTATTGAATGATAATCTCCTATGCAGCACCTCTACTTTGTCTGAACTCCTAATCTGTAGTCAGAATAAATAATGTCTCATTAATCAATCTTTGAAACAACAGGTTATGTAAATAAGCAAATGTTTCTCTCTACTTATTTAACAACAATAAAAATTAGATGTTCAAGAATGAGATAAAGTGGAAAGAAAGGAAAGCGCAATAAAAATATTTTCCTTTAGTCTCTTTGCAATACTTTACTATTACCTTTGATTGTGCTTCACTCAGATTTTTGAGGCTCACTAAATCCAATTTTCTTTCACTTATTCTATCTCCTTGAAAAACGTTTTCAGTTAGGTTCAGGTCCTCAGTGGTTAATCCTATACATAAGAGAATTAACAAACTAAAAACATAAAAATAACCCTCCTACTATTCCAATACTTTAATTCTTAAAACCTACAATCAAGTTTTAACCCAAAGGTAGAATAATTGTTTCCAAAATTCTTCCAAAATTCTACACAGTCAATACAATCTTCTGATCTAGCTCACTTTTAATGAACTATTAATAATGTAAGAACCTAATTCGAATTTCATCTTCTCTACCATTCTTGGCCCATTCTATATTAAAGTGCCACTTAATAAGCACCAGTTAAAAGACATATAAAGTAAATATAGATGAGTAATGAGTAAAGTGATTATTGTACTAATAAATTATGAAGTTTCATTTTATGAGAAAGTTTTTGATGTATTATAGATATTGCAATGCTAAAAAGAACCACTCTGCTATTATTCATATAGGCTTGGGTATTTGGGCCAAATGAAAAAGAAATTCCTTCTGTGTGGTCTTCCTACAAAAAAGCACTGCAATGGCTACTATAAAACTTAACCAACTGTTCTTTTGTCTCAAGTAAAATAAACCAAAAAAAAAAGATGCTAATTTATATTCAATAAAACATTACTTTCACTTAGTAAAGAATAATTTAAGGCCAGGTGTGGTGGCTCACGCCTATAATTTCAGAACTATGGGAAGCCAAAGCAGATGTATCACTGGAAATCAGGAGTTCGAGACCAGCCTGGCCAACATGCTGAAACCCCATCTCTACTATACAAAAATAAGCCAGGTGTGGTGGCTTATGCCTGCAGTCTCAACTACTCGGGAAGCTGAAGCACAAGAATCACTAGAACCCGAGAGGCGGAGGTTGCAGTGAGTGAGACTGCACCAGTGCACTCCAGCCTGGGTAACGAAAGCGAAACTCCGTCTCAAAAAAAATAATAATAATAATAATAACAATTTACAAAAAAAAAAGCTTTCTAATGCATAGTCCTTACGGAAACGGCAAATGAATAATAATAATAACAATTTACAAAAAAAAAAGCTTTCTAATGCATAGTCCTTACAGAAACGGCAAATGATGAGTAACATATACTAACATAAAACCTACTAAGGTTCATACTTATTAATCACACTATATTGGGGCTATCTAGAAATTAAAATATGATGCTATACAATTTTCAAAATTCTACAATTCTAAGGTTTGGTTTGTTTGTTTGCTTGGTTTTTGTTCTTTTGTTTTGTTTTCTTATTGCCTATTTCATACTCAAGACTGAATCCACTGACACTTATCTCCTTCAGGTTGCCATTGTCATTTTTTAAATTTGTATCAGACTCTCAATAAAACAGCAGAAAAAAATACAAACAATTTCATATCCAGACAACTCATTTACCAATAATTCTTTTTAAAGGTTTAGAATAACTGAGTATACCTGAAGTTGCACTTCTTTTTCCTCTTTCTTGAGCCATTTGACGAATTTTTTTCTTCAGATCAAGTCGTTCTTCCTCTAGACTTTCAATCTGCAAAGCATAAATTATTAGTATTTCTCTATAGTTCAACCAAGAAAATAATCAACTGACTACCATACTTGCCTCTTTCAAAAGAATCTGGTTTTCAGCTCTGTACTGCTGCTGTTTTAAGCATTTGCTATTTCTAAATTCAGTTAAATCAATCATTGTTTTTGGTTCAAGGCCTACAATAAAGAGCAATATAATTAAAAACTTAAAAATATTCAAATAAACTGCAATAACGTCATATACCATCAAGCAACTGGTTAAAATCTGCTTAGCCAGTATCACTGACGAATGAGGTAACCTTTTGTGCAAGAATTCTCCAGATATTTAAAATGTAACCCAAGTTAAAATTTTATCAAAATTATTCATGGAAATCCTAACAAAAACCCAAAGTAAATTATAAACCAAGATTTGGAGCTTTTTAAACACGAAAATATCATTCTATGATTGCTATCTAGATTGTCCAGAAGTCATCTTTAGGAACTTCCAGATTCTTGGCTATGATCTGATAGTTCAAGTTGATCAGAAGTCTAACTTGGGGATCCACAACTACGGATCCTAGTTAGATACTATTCACACATATATATCTGTATAAAATACTTCTTTGTCTATTTGTCTTTTCTTTAGGTAATAGTTTTCACAAATAATCATTTTAACTGAGAGTTAATTTAAATGAAATTTAGCAAGATTGAAATCTGTATTTAGATATTTATTTTTATTTTAAAGCAAAAACTTAGTTTGCACTATTAGAACACACAAACTAGTAATATTAACTAATAAGCTATTTATTAAAATAAATATACAAACTCTCAAGCTATATTTACTAATTACTCCTTAAAATACTCAAAGTAAAACGTAAGCAGTCTGAATTATAAAAGTCAAGCACTTAAAAATCTTTAAGAGGTTTAAACAGGCTGGGCATGGTGGCTCATGCCTGTAATCCCAGCACTTTGGGAGGCCGAGGCAGGTGGATCACTTAAGGTAAGGAGTTTGAGACCAGCCTAGCCAACACAGTGAAACCCTACCTCTACTAAAAATACAAAAATTATTCAGGCATGGTGGTGCATGCCTGTAATCCCAGCTACTCGGGAGGCAGAGGCAGGAGAATCATTTGAACGTGGGAAGCAGAGGTTGCAGTGAGTCAAGATTGCACCATTGCACTCTGGCCTGGGTGACAGAGCAAGACCCTGTCAAAACAAAACAAAACAAAAAAGTTTAAACGATGTTTGTAAACATCCTCAGGAATTCATCTGTAACAAGAGAATTTTGCAAACAAATGTGGGTAATTTATTAATGCCACGTAACAGAGGTTAACTTTTTTTTCCCCCCAACAAAAGTAGGGGGAAAAAAAAAGGTTAACCTCTGTTACGTGGCATTAATAAACTTTCACTTTTTTTAACATGTAGCTATTACTGAGGAGATGCTAGACTAAATAAAGCAATGTTCCAACCCTGCCAACCCACCACTCCAACCTCATAAAATCTCTGATTCCACTTTAATCAGAGCAGCTACACTTTTATTTGTATTAAATGTTTTATGAAAGTATTTATTTGGAAAAAAAAGCATTAAACTACTCAATGAATAATAATAAACAAAATTTAAATTAAAAAAAAAAGACTTGTAAATCAGGGTTGAGCAAACTATGTAACTTAGAAGATGGCTTACCCACACGCTCTCTAAGTGCTTCATTTTCATCAAGGAAATCATTGATCTTCAACTCAAGTTTATTGATTTCCTTTATCAATGTTTCAATCTCCTGATCTCTTATTTTAATTTGGTTTTTACAATTCTTTATTTCAATGACAGCATCTTCTAAACCATATACTCCCTGAAATATATCCAATCTAATTTAAAATATTACATGGTTTACTTGAATAAATTTATCAAATTCATGAATTAATTTTTTTACTAAAAGGAAAATGTACATATGCCTACAATTTATATCATTATACTAGTTTTTTTATTGTGCCTTTATAAACCAAATCCAGCAATAATAATGAAGTAATATGCAACAAGTTAACTCTCCAGTATAATATCCTAAAGTCAAAATGACTCCAAATATGTATTACATATAAAACACTTATCAAAATACAGAAAAGAATTAGTAAAAGCAAATCAGCAATACCAGTAGAATAAGTAAGTCATTATAGTTGCTTGACTTAGCTGTAAAAGTGAAAAAATATTGGAGCTGTAAAAGTGAAAAAAAATAGGCGATAAAATTGTCCTTATCATAAATTTTGTTATATTGGCCAGTGGTGTCACATCTACATGGCGGCACAATGAACACAGATAATAAACAAATCTAATGCTGCTGGTTAACCAAAACCGATTATTTGGACAAAACATCTTGATCAAAAGATTTGAAAACAATTCTCCCGACAAAAAGTAAATGCTCAAAAGTTTCAATAGTTTAGTACAAATTAATGAGGATAACCTTCGTCAAAATATACTTACGGAATGTTTTTTAAATGGTATGCAGTAAATAGCACAGAATAGTCTGTGAGTGGCAGGAATAATTCTAAACTCCTTGAATGCCAAGATAAAAATACATACCGATTCATAATCTTTTAACCGCTTCAGAGCCTCAATTAATTCTTTATCCTTTTCCCTAGCATCAGCCTCAGCCAGTTCAGCTGTTCTCTCAGCCTCTTTAGTTTTCTCTTTTAAAATGTCTAATGTTGACTGAATTTTCATGTAATAACTCTGTTGAGAAAGTGTTGAAGCACCTACAGAGTAAAAGCAAAAATCATGAATTAATTGAACTGACTACTTCAATTACTTCAAATCAGTGATTGCAATATGGTGGCAAGAAAAGTGGTATGCCATTTAAAAACTCCTTTAAAGTTGTAATTTTATATTTGTAAAATCAAAGTTTTTTTTGGTTTTACTAATATAATTAACTAAAAAAGTAAAGTTCAGTAAAATCTTCTTAGCTGAAGGGGTATGGATATGAGAGGCTGCAAAATACTGCTTTACCAAGAATGATCCTTGTGACAGAGACTGCATGCAGCTCTATCAGGTTCCTAATATTTAACCTCCCTTTTGTCCACTATACTAAAACTATGGATTTTTAGCTGGGCACGTAGCCATTTGAAATAAAGAACTAAATTTCCACTTACACACCAGCAGCTATGTGTGGTCATGTCAGTAAGGCAATATAAATACAAAGGTCATTTGTGAATTTCAGGAAACATTTTTAAAGGAAAGGAATAATCTTTCTCTTCTCTTTCCTCCTTCCTACTAGCTGAAATCCACATGAATATGAAGGTGGCAACTTCACACGAGTGAAGAAACCACACGTTGAGATAGGGGTCCCTGATAGGGAATATTTGTGCATCTATCACACAAATCCTGCCCTAGTTCCTTCAACTTTGTCCATATCATAGAGAAGTAAATTTCTATCTTGTTTAAATTATTATACCATGCTTGATTTTTCTGTCACTTGCAGCTAAACTTAACACAAACTAAGCTAAAAAATTCTTGAATGCCTACTTGTATTATCTTACTAAATTGTAAAAAGACCAAAACATAATATTGCTATCATTCAAAAATTTATTGACACAGATCATTCTCACACTCATTCATAATAAGCATTTACTAATATATAGGTTATATACTTAATATTGGACTTAGGCATAAGACTAGTATGTGAGATCACAAAAGTTTTTAAGAAATGAGCGCTGCTGTCTGAAGCTAACAGCCAAGTTGCAGAACATTTCATAAGCTGTTTCCCCCCCCCCCCGTATGTATTCCCTCCTTCTTCCACATGTCTATTCTCCTATCATTCTTCTACGTGGCTCTCCATAACAAACACTGTATTTACCTACCTATCCTTCAGCACATGCTTTTAACTCTTGTCCTTTCTTCCTCTATCTTGCTGTTTGGGATACAGACATGAGATAAAGCTACACTGCATCTATTTTGGATGGGGCAGATAAAGGCAACACCCTGGACTGCCTAATTCTAGTTCATTACATAGATGAGAAATAAATGTCTATCTTGATTTTGCCATTATTCTTCAGCTCTCTGAAAACTGATAATAAAAAGTCTAATCCTGCTAACTAAACCTAATATTTCTGTATTTTGATAAGCACTTGATATGTAATACATATTTAGAGTCACTTTGCCTTTAGGATATTATACTGGAAAGTTAACTGTTACATATTACATCATTATTATTACTGGATTTGATTTATAACAGCACATTCCATGAGTATATTTTGAAGAAGGTTATCCTCATTAATTTATACTAAACTATTGAAACTTTTGAGCATTTACTTTTTTTCAGGAGAACGGTTTTCAAACATTTTGATCAAGATGTTTTGTCCGAATAATCAGCTTTGGTGAACTAGCAGAATTAGATTTTTTTTACTATCTGTGTTCAGAGAGCTGAAGAATAATAACAAACCTATGAAGGAAGAATACCCCTAGCCATTACGTTTTACAAGTTAAGTTTAAGATATAGAGCACAGTCTGATACATACACCTTCTGTGAGCTTTAGGGATTATATGACTATGGACTGACTAAAGTCTTATTAGATAAGTTCTTGTTCTTATTTGATAGCAGAGATCAATCACCACTTTTTCTCCTTGTAACTATAATATGCATGACCCATACTGTTAGTCATCCTTTTAAAGCAGTTTAAACTACTGGCGAAGTATTCTAATACAAATATAATAAACACATATATAGAAATATCTATCTAGTTGGCCCTTGAAGCCACTCAACAGTCATACCACATTCTCCATGTCTTCCATCTTTCAGATGACCATTTTATACTTTCTCTTCTCCTCTCTCCTCAAGCTTATGAAATATCTTCCCCTATCGTTACCTTCAGCTAAGAATCTTGCTTCCTTGTTCACTGAGAAAAAAGCAGCAACCAGTGTACAACTTCAGCAAATTCCCACTACCAGGATGTCTACCAAGCCATCTACACCTGTATCAATACACTCTACCTTCTTTTCTATGATGATGGATGAGCTCTCTGTTCCTAGTTAAGGCTAACCTCTTCACTGGCACACTAAGATCCCATCCCATTGCATTCTTAAAAATATTATTGTTCCAGAAGTTCTCTCTCTCCACTTCATTGATTCATCAACATTTCTTCTTTAATGGAACTTTCCTATTAATCTAAAATCATGAGTTATTTCTTCCATCTTTAAGAGAAAAATACTTTCTTAATCCCTCTTTCCCCTCAAACTACTACCTCGCTTTCTTCTCTTTATGAAAACAGTTCTGGAAAAGAGTTCATATATTACTTTATTACATTTCTTCTCTACCCACTTTCTCTTGAACTAAAAATGACCATTTTTGGTCAAACAGTTAACTTTTAGTGGTCATCTTGATCTATCAGCAGCAAAGAACACAGCTCTGAAAGCAGTTGTTTCTTCTTACTTTGTTATATTCCTCATGTGGTTTTCAGGGCTCTCCATACTTCCACTTTTTCTCCTATTTCTCTGAGCATTCCTTTTCAGTTTCCTTTGATTGCTCCTTTTTATTTCCCTAGCTACAAAAGTAGAAGTATCCCAGGACTCACTCTTTAGATTTTTCTTCTTAACCTACATTTACTCCCTTGGTGATCTTAGCCAGCTTCATTACCTCAATTACTTTTACAGAGATGGTTACTAAACACATCTTTAGCCTAGATTGCTATCCTAAAGTTCAAACTTTCATATACAAGTGCCTACTTAACAGCTTCACCTGGATGTCTAATAAGCATCTCAAACCTAACGTCTAAAATTAATTACCTGTTTATCTCTCAACCTGCTCTTCCCACAACCCCGCCATGACCAAAACTTTTGGTTCAGACCAAGAATTCCAACTCTCTGTCACACATCCTACATCTGATCTGTTAGCAAATTCCATTTTTATCACCTTCAAAATACATCCAGAACTGCTACATCCAATAACTTCACTGCTACCATTATGGCCCAAACCATCACTTTTCTCCAGATTATTACAATAGTCTTCTAACAGGTCTCCCAGCTTGTTATTTACTACTCCTACAGCCTACTGTAGACACAGGCTAAATCAAATTATAGCACTCCTATCTTCAGAAACTTTCCCCAATGTCCCTTCTCACTTAAAAGCCAAAGTAATCACCATGAACTATAAGGCCCCATGATATGGCCTCTGTTTATCGCTCTGATCTTACTTGCTGACTCTACTCCAGCCGAAAGTACTTCTTTGTTGTTCTAAAATATGCTTGGTACACTCCTGCTTTAGTGCCTTTAAACTTATTCCCACTGCTTAGAGCCATCTGCATGTTTCACTCTTTCACTTCTTTAAGTATAGGTTAAATTACCTCCTCTGTAAGGCTTTTGCTTCATTTTCAAAATTACAACCCTACCTGCAAACACAACATCACTACACTATTGCATACATACATACACGGAATCACTATTTCTCCTTCATGTCATTTTTAAAAAAATATATAGTAATAAACATGTCCATGAAATTACCATGAAAAGTTGGCACTAGTGTGCTCTGACATAACTATAGTATGTAGTGCTATAAAAAATATAACAACACAGATATTGCAAGAACATATATTCATAGAATTTGATGTGTTAAACAAGGTAGTATGGCTCAATGTAAAGAGAATATGATGAAACATTAATCTGGGTAAGATTAATTAAAATGCTGATGTAAAATTACTTCTGAAAACTATCTGCAATGCTGTTACACTAGCCAAAATTTTATTATCCTCCATTCTTTGTTAATTATAAGAAGTTAAATAAAAATAATTATATCACCATTTTTCATTTCTTTCATACCAGTGACCTGGTAATAAAAGTTAATGTAATTTTCACCAGAGGAGAAAATAACAGACAATAGATCCATCATTAACAAATGTAAGCACCAGTAATATAAGTATAATAATAAATAATATCTTGTACAATTTTTTGAAAATATAAAATTCAAATAGACAAAACTCAATATTGACTTGATATTTTATTTTAATAAAGTACTTTAACAACATAATGATATCTAAAATAACTTTATGTATTTATAAAAATACCTTTGTTTCTTTGGAGCTCATTTTTCAAATCTTCAATAATAAAAGTATTCTTTTCCATTTCTTTTGTATATTGTTCTACTTGTTCTGTGAGCATCTTAATTTGACTGTCTCGTTCCTGTATACCCTATAAAATGTTTTAAAACAATATATATAGTTTCATGAATATTAACCTAAAATGGTAAGGAAAAAGGGAGGCATGATATTTTTCAACAAGACTGTAGAACATATTTTCTTCTGGGTAAATTCTGTACATTTCAACTGTAATACACAGTGATAGGTACACTGCTGTTACTCCAATACTGAAAGATGGATATAATGGCTAACACTCTGGAAAACAGAATTTCCAGAACTCCCCAATGTTTGTGACTTCTATAATTCCTTACATGGTACTTTCCTCATCCTCCATTGAATTCCATATTTTTACCATTTTGCATGTTCGTGTTTTGCTCTGTGCTTTTGCTTTTATTCAACTTAGCTTTTTCCCCTTTAGTACTTCATTCAAAAATATTGCCCCTTGTAATTGTACTTATTCTGCATGTACTTTTCAAATCTCCTTCTTACTTTTAGACTATAACTACAGCACAAATAATAAAGGTGTTACTTGCTTTTATAGGGGTATATTTTCACTAAAAATAAAATCTTTACGTAGCACAAGTTAAATTATAACCATACTTTTAGCTTAAATCACTCTGTGTAGGGTATGTTAGGACTAAGATACAGTAAAATAAACCTTAACAGTATATAAAATTATTATAAATTTTCTTAAAGTTTTTAATCATTTCTTATTAAATAATTTCTAACCAAAACAATGTGTGTACTATCCATATAAACACAGAAAAATAAACACAATAACTCTAGTCCTAACTCTAATCCTGACTCTAAACTTAATCCTAATTTTTTATAGGGACTAGATGGCTTAAGAAATTTCAAAAGACATTATTAGACACTTGGTAGTGCAGGCTGCTAGACTAGGCACTGATGATATAATAAACAAAAGACATTGTTCAGAGTTCCAACTTTAATAAAACTGGTTGATAAAACCAAATTCTGATAAGATTTTACCTGCTGTAGAGCCATAACATTACTTTTATCAGCATCAAGCTGAGCATTCTTAAGTTTCTCCCTTAGGTTATGTAACATTTGCTGATATTCAATAATTTCATCATCTTTAGAAGACAAAATTAGCTAGAAATAAACAAAATAGAATCTGTTACACAAAAGGAAAATTAAACATTCTTCATTATCATAAATAATAGACACCATTAGTAGATTTATGATACAGGAAATAAAATTATGTGAAGAGGGAAAGTATGAGCAATTACTGGCATAATCTTTGTTCCTTTTGTATATACAACCTGAAATTCAAATAGGAAATGATTTCAAAATATATACTGTAATTTTCTTCTTTTATAATTCAATCTTTAAAAATATTTCAACCTTTAAAAACTCATTTATAAAGAAGTACTTCCACACACTTGTGAAAAGTTTTATACAATTGGTATTTATGAAGTATGCATTAAAATGCAACTGAGAGGCATAAAATATCTTGAATGAATGAAAGAAAAGGTATCTTGTGTTCTTCAGCTAGAAGGACCAAATATCATTAAAAGGTTTATCCTAAATCAATCTATAAAGCAATTTATAACTTTAACACATACCTGATAAAAATCCACAAGATATTTTTTAAGAACTGGACAAGCAAGTTCTATAATTCACATTAAAAATGTTCATAAGAAACATTTATAAATTTTCTTAAAGTTTTTAATGATTTCTTATTAAATGATTTTAATAAAAAATGTTTATTAAAATATTTTAATAAAAAATAATTTTAATAAAAAATGTTCATAAGGAACATTTTTAATGAAAGTCTAAAATGAAAATGATAAGTGATAAAGAAAAACGATAATGTTTTTAGATATTAAAACATACAACAGTTGAAACAAGTACACATGGCTAGAAAATACATCAATCAATTTAAGAGACTCCAAAATTAGATTCAAATTCAAAAAGCATATATAGTAAAAATGAAATTGTACCTCAATAGAAGAAGGATGAAATAATCAATAAATGATGTTTGGATAACAGAGGAACTCTGTTGCTTCCATGTTATACTACTTACATCAAAATAAACTGTATATGTTTCAAAGATTTAAATGTAAAAAAGACCGAACACAGTCATGCTTGTAATTCCAGCACTTTGGGAGGGCAAGGCAGGCAGATCACTTGAGGCCAGGGGTTCCAGACCAGCCTGGCCAACATAGCAAGACCCCATGTCTACTAAAAATACAGAAATTAGCCACACATGGTGGCACATGCCTGTAATCCCACCTATCAGGAGGCTGAGGCACGAGAACCACCTGAACCCGGGAGGTGGCACTTGCAGTGAGCTGAGATTGCACCCTTGCATTCCAGCCTGGGCAACTGAGTGAGACTCTGTCTCAAAAAAAAAAAAAGATATTAGGAGAAAATATAACAAAACAAGTTTATACTCAGAAGTCTTTCTTATTTTAACAAAGGTCAAAAGTCATTTAAAAATAATAAATTTAACTCAGAACAAAAAGAAATATTTCATAGCAAAAGATGCCATAAAGCAAAAAACAAAAAAAAAGTGACAACCTATCAGAATGTATTGCAACATACATGACAATTATACTTGCAGCAATTAATTCTACAGATGTACATTTGCAAAATAATATATATAAGGAAATTCATTAAAAAGTTTCTAACCCCAAAATTGGAAACTTCATAAACTTCACAAATTATCAAATAAATACCTGTATAAAAAGAAAAACTACATAGCCTTTAAAAAGAACAGCAATACTATATCTACTGATATAAAATAATTATGAAAAGATATTAAGTCAAAACAAAGTGCAGAATACATATAACATGTTACCATTTACCCCTGCCAACATTAAATGTGGTCAAACTGTTTTTTCCAGGGGTTGGTAGACTACAGCTCACAGGTCAAATTTGGCCTTCCACCTGCTTCTGTAAATAAAATTTTACAGAAAAACCACCTTGCTCACTCATTTACCTATTTTCCATGGTTGCTTTCATGCTATAAGCAGAGTTTAGTTATAGCAGAGACCAGGTGGTCTAAAATATTTACTCTCTGGCCCTTACTATAAAGTTTACAGATGCTTGACTGATTCTAAAGGCCTTATTTCCATTGCTGCTGCTTTCGTTTAAATATAGGTTATCTGAGCTTCCTAGATGATAATCAATTCCAAATGCCAGCAAGATTTATGTGAACCCCACTAGAAAGCAATGATTCTAGAAATGATAGCTTTTAAAATTAGAATTATTCATTCAGAATCATCTCTGATGTTTTTCAAATATTGAACCATCATATTCCCAACTTCTAATATGGTAAGGCCTGACGATTTTGTTAAGGTTGGATAGTGATGGTGAGGAAGAGAGGTACATTTTGAAAAGGCTTCCCAAGTGACTCTATCCCTTTGCTTATTCCCATTCCCACTGATCAATCTGACAGTTAGTTAGAAAAACTAAAATTAAACCTGCAACTATTTCACTAATGAATACAAGGTAACTATGAGTTAAGTGAAAAAATTTAAATAAATTTAGAATGATATATTTCAGATGACAAATATATTTTGCAGTTAGACTTCTATTAAAAAGTTTAAAGTTCAACTCATTGATGTGAAAGAGGTCATTCAATAACAAATGAGCTAGAGATCACAAAGGAGAGTTTTAGAGCTTTTCCAGCCAAGAAATAAAATAAACTCAAGTTTAAAAATACGACATTTAAACAAAAATAAGACTAAAATTTAAATATAAAATATAAAATGAAAAAGTTATTATGTCAATTGAAAAAAATACCGTCCATTCTTCTACTTTTGCATTGACAGCTACCATAATTGGATCGTCTTCTTCATTTTTTGCCTTCAGAAGCTCTGTAAGCTCCTGCACCTAAAAGACAACAGTTAATTCAAGAGTTGTTGCAAATTAATGTAATATATATTTCACCTGTGCATATTTAGATATACATTATATATAAACATATATACATACACACATATACATATGCATACTTATATACACATATATACAGATACATTACATTACATATGCATATTTATCATTGAAGTCATCCTGGAATTAAAGATGACATTTAATATTTTCTGGATCTTATAATTGTATAACTATCTTTCATTACTAGAAAATTTTATTTTTAAACATTACCTTTTAAACAAGTTTAATACACATAAACAGTGAATAATGTATTGGTTTCCAATATATTTATGATGCATTTAAGATAAAATTAAACATTATGATCCACAGGATTTTTAAGAGTCTTGCAGAAAACCCCATAATTATGAGCTGTACATGTCTGCTATCTACACATTCATTCAAGTATCATTTATACATCCTGGACTGTAAGATTCAGTGTTTGTGAGGGGATTGGAGAAACACATATGGGCAAATATATCAACATGGTAACATATTACGGTATTAAAAAGACAGACAAAAATTCATATCCTAAATAAATAATGAGATAATATGAAGTCTGAATAAATAAGTCATTCTAAAAGTAATTCTTACTTGAAGTCGATAATGATCATTTTCTTTTTTTAACTGATCTATTACATTATCTGTCTGATGTACAATAGCTTTCATCCTATTATATTCATCAGTCATCTTCTCCATTTCCTGTACAGACTCTTCTAAATTTTTTCTCATTTCTTGGTTCTGAACTTCAATCTTCTCATTAGCTTCTGTTAAAGACTAAAAAAGTTAAAGACACTCTAATTAAAAAATAATTTTAAAAAATGAAACCAAATTAAAATTAAATGCAGCCATTAAGTGTCCACTGAGTGAGGGGGAAGATAATTTTCTATAGACCTTTAGTTGGCATTGACCAATTAAATCAAATTGAATATCAAGAAAATTGTACACAAGTACCTCAATTATTTTTAATGACCAAGACAAATATAAAAAGAACAGTTAAAAAGTTACAACTTCGGGCTGGGCGTGGTGGCTCACGCCTGTAATCCCAGCACTTTGGGAGGCCGAGACGGGTGGATCACGAGGTCAAGAGATCGAGACCATCCTGGTCAAACAAGGTGAAACCCCATCTCTACTAAAAATACAAAAAATTAGCTGGGCACGGTGGTGCATGCCTGTAATCCCAGCTACTGGGGAGGCTGAGGCAGGAGAATTGCCTGAACCCAGGAGGCGGAGGTTACAGTGAGCCGAGATCGCGCCATTGCACTCCAGCCTGGGTAACAAGAGCGAAACTCCGTCTCAAAAAAAAAAAAAAAAAAAAGTTACAACTTCAAAGATGTTTTTATTTCATGTTTTACAAGTATATAGTGATAGATTTAGACCAAAGAATTTAAACCTAGTGCTAAATATTAGATTTATATTATAACGAAAATTAAAGTTTTATAGGAATCATTGCTCTGAACTGACTTCTAGCTATTTTACCTGAATTTCATCCAGATACTGGACAAGCTCATAGTTTTTTTTAGACAACTGTGATCGGTAGTCACTGTCTTCCCCTCTTCTTGATAAAAGTGTTTCTTTTTGTGAATCTATTTGTTTCTGGTAATCAATAATATCCTGAGAAAGCTGTTCATTCTGAAGGTAACCAAACATAACATTGCATTATGAAACTATTCAGAATAACAAAATTATATCCTGTAAATAGTGCTCTCGGAACATATCTTTAAATTCCCAAGATTTCACCACCCTTAAAGCCTCACCTTTTTCTTTAGACGTTTGTTCTACAGAAAAGGACAGGGAAAAGGTAATTAGAAATGAGAAAGGCAATACTTAATTAAAAATAAGAATTAGAGACTAAAGAAAACAAAAAAAAGTTAGGAGAAGGATGTACATTATTTTGAATAACCAAAGAAAGTAAGGATACTAATTCTCTATCAAAACAAAAAGTATTTCAGTTATGCCAGAAACTTAAGAACTTCTATCAGAATAGACAATGTACAAACATTATTTGGCTCAGTAGAACCAAATGATAATCAGAATTTATAAGATTTCATAAGTAACAAAAATTTTTAAAGGATTCTGGGTAAGAGAAATAAGAATAGAAATCCAGTCATGTATTTAATTAGAAAACTAGCAAAGAATGGCTTATAAAACAACAATAAAAAGATTTACCCACATAGACCTGAAATGAATGTAGTACTTAAAGGTCTCACATTTTGCTTCATTTTCTATTTCCCTGAGACAAAGTCATACCATAAAATCAGTTTGAAAACATCAGTTACTTAGAGGACTCCAGTCCTGGTTAAAATATAAATTTATATAAACTTTTTTAACAAGTACCTTTGTTGAGACACCATAGCTACTAAAATTTTTTACCAACCTCTCTTCTTAATTTGCTGTTTTCATTTTCTGCCTCCTCATTTCGAAGAGCCAACTAAAATAGTAAAAATAATAATAAGTTAAATTTCAGCAGTAATTTTTCTTTTTTTCAGATAACATCTCCCTTTGTCACCTAGGTTGGAGTGCAGTGGTGTGATCTCCATTCACTGCAACCTCCATCTCCTGGGTTCAAGCGATTCTCCCACCTCAGCCTCCTGAGTAGCTGGAATTACAGCATGAATCACTATAAGTGGATAATTTTTATATTTTTAGTAGATACAGGGTTTCACTGTGTTGGCCAGGCTGGTCTTGAACTCTTGGCCTCAGGTGATCCACCCACTTTGGCATCCCAAAGTGCTAGGATTATAGATTTGCGCCACCATGTCTGGCCATCAGCAGTATAAAGCCAGATATTCAGCTCATCTACTTAAATTTTAAGTCCTCTCTAATAAAGTAAAAACATTTAGACTATTAAGGATTTAATATCAACCTAACACATCAATAGGGCAAAATTTTCAAAAATTAAGGATTTAAGAAGTATTAAACAGGTTCATTTTAAAGAATAAAAAAGAATACACACACACACACACACACACACACACACACACACACACACACAAACTCTAACCAAAGAATACAGAAATATATAAACCTGCTCCACCAAAAAAAATCCAAATAAAATGGTTTTCTTCCCAACATCTTTGTATTTCACTTTTCTATGTCATAGCTAGACCATTATCACTATCAGTGAACATAAATTACTTAGAAATATAAGGCAATAACAACACAATGGTTAAAAGAAGCCATCTAAAATCATACTGGCCTAGATTTATGTTCCTCATCAACCAATTTCTCGTAAAGTGTGAATGAGTTATTTAGTATCTCTTCAATTCAGTTTTCTCATATATGTTGACATAAGAATTAAATAAGATGTATATAGAGCTCTCAGCACAATGATCAGTGAATTGAATCAAAAAAAAATATAAAGCCTTCTCTATCTACATATAAGTGATTTCGTTTGTGACTCGTTTCTCCAAATGGCAAACATTATTACAAACATTATGATGCCTTTTTTCACCTATTCTCCAAATCTCATTCCTCTTATGACCTTTCATTTTTCTGCTTCTTCCCTTTATTCAAGAGAAGATAGAACCACAATGGTATAAAACTATATTTAAAAGTCTATAATAACCAAATGTAGTATGTGATCCTTGATGGAACTTTGGATATTGGAGGTGAGGTGCCTGAAGGATATTATTGGGCCATTAGAAGAAATCTGATTCTGCACTAGATAATGGTGTTGAATCAGTATTTAATTTCCTGAGCCTGACAATTATATTGCATTCATGTGGGAGAACATCTTTCTTTTTCAAACGGATATGCTGAAATATTTAAGTGCAAAGTCTGATATCTGCAATTAGCTCTCAAATGACTCAGCAAAAAATGTGATTAAACAAACAAGAGATAGATAAATATATGTGTGTTTAAAGATACTGACAAAAAGATAAAGCAAACGTGGCACAACATTAACATGTGGTGAATCTGTATGAAGGGTATGTGGGTGATTATTGTTTTTCTTTTTTTTCCTACCAACTTTTAAGTTCTGGGGTATATGTGTAGGATGTGTGGGTTTGTTACATTGGTAAACATGTACCTGATCAAATGTTGCTGCACAGATCAACCCATCACCTAAGTATTAAGCCCAGCATCCACTAGCTATTCTATCATTGATGAACATTTGGGTTGATTCCATGTCTTTGCTATTGTGAATAGTGCTGCAATGAACATATGCATGCATGTATCTTTATAAGAAAATGATTTATATTCTTTTGGGTATATACCCAGTAATGGGATTACTGGATCCAATGGCATTTCTACTTTTAGATCTTCAAGGAATTGCCAGTCTTCCACAATGGTTGCATTAATTTATATTCCCACCAACAGTGTATTTCTTACAATCTTTACGAATATATGACATTTTTCAAAAAAAAAAGCTTAACATTTATAACAAAATACAAAGTATAATACAAATTCTAGAAGTTTGCATATCATTATCATCAATTGAAAGTTAATAATCCCACTGTGTTCTTAATTAAGAAATTTTTACAAGAGAAGCCAAGAACTTAATGCTAAAGCATTTACTGCTATTGATACTCTTTTTCCTTGTCTTTCCAAACATCACACTCTGTTTCTCCTTTCTTGAGCTTTTTCCTTGAAGCACCTCTTCCAATTTCATTGCTTTATAGACATTTCTCAGAGATGTGGCTTACAATCACTTCTCCGGCTTCAATAATGTCTACATTGTTGATTTATAAATCCTCATCATCTGCCCAGAGTGTCTTGTGAATTCCATTACCACAGATCACCCTTTCTGAATATGCCCACAAGAATCTCAAACTCAACATCTATAAAACTGAAATAATCCCAAACTTTCCAAATGCCTCATATGTTCCTCCTTAGTGAATGGCACTATCTACCTGTTTAGTGGCCCAACCCACAAAATTAGGCAAATTCTCCATCATCCGTTTCCTCCAACAACCAATTACAAATTCACCACATCCAATTACATCTACTTCTCTCACATTTGTCTGTCTCAGGCAAATCCCATCATTAGGGCTTGCCTGAATTAACACAAATATCTCCTTACTAGTGTTGGCCCCTTTCAATCCACTCTCCACAAAGTACAGTAAACTTTTAAAGTATAGATCTTACTATATCCTGTGCTCAGAACTCTTCATTGACTCCTTTTATGAAAAGAACCAAATTCATCAAGGAACTGGCCCTTGCTTATTTCTCCAGAGGATCGTAAGAATTAAAACTGGGAAGGCAATTTAGCACAGACTCTTGAGTAAGACTGTTTTCAAATCCTATCATTACCACTTATAAGCTGTGTAACCATGGCAATTACCTTTCTTTGTCTCCATTTCTTCATCTGTATCATGGTAGAAATGACATTTCATATGATAAGTATGAAATAAGCAAAAATGAATTAATTCATATGAAGTGCCTGACACATAGTAAGGACTCCATGGAAGCTATTTTCACTTATATTCCAGTCAAAATGAATAACTGTAGCTTCCTAAATACTCCATAACATCTCTTACTTCTAGGTCTTAGCAAATGTGTTACCTTCTACCCAGAATGTTCTTTCTTTAACCACCATATACATTCTCATTCCTCTTACCAGTCTAACTTCTACTTCAGGTCTCAGTTCACAGATCACATCCTGAACCTTAAGACTGATTATGGCATCCCTCTCCAGAGTATCCCAGAATATGTCCTGATATATCTTCCTAAGTAACATATTATCACTATGTTATGCTTATTATTGACTGTAAATATCCTTGAGAAGCAGAACATAGTTGCCCACTATATCACTAGCAACTAGCACAGTCTCTGGTATGCTGTAAAGACTCACTAAAACTCAATGACTGGTTAAGGGCAAAGAAGTAATTACCAAAGCAACTATATCCGTATTTCATCTCAAGGAACTTAGCAGCCGAAAAGGAACACAGGCCATATATTTAAGTTTTCTCTGTGTGAAACTATGAGTAAAGATAATAGTCTAAGATATAAATGGACAAGGTAGTTCTGATTAGCTAAGAGTGTGTGGTATGAATGATAAGTCAACTGATACAGGCCTAAAGAGAAGAATAAAAGTCAAGAAAACCACAGGCATTCCCCTAGGCAATTCTACCAGTGAATATCATAAGTTAGATCCTTTATAACTATTAAAAAATCCACATGTCTGTTATGTTTTGCAGAGTTAACTAACCAGACAATGCTCTAAGAACTTGTTCTTAACATTTAAGTGGCATCAATCCATACTTTCTCTACCACGTTGTTTTGATAGCTTTTATATGGTTCTTTAAAATTTTGGAGTAAAATAGATACATGTAAGAAATTTGTAAGGAATAGTTTCCCTTACAAATCAATTTATGATAGATGCTCTTATTATTATTGTTGTTTGAGACAGAGTCTCATTTCTGTTGCCCAGGCTGGAGTGCAGTGGTGCAATCTCGGCTCACTGCAACCTCTTGCCTCCTGGGTTCGAGCAACTCTTCTGCCTCAACTACCCAACTAGCTGGGATTACAGGCACTCCCCACTAGGTTCGACTAATTTTTTTTGTATTTTTAGTGGAGATGGGGTTTTTGCCATGTTGGCCAGGCTGGTTTTGAACTCTGGGTCTCAAGTGAGATTGATTCTCTTAAATAGCATATCACTGTTTTCTTAAAATGTATGACCCTCTATTTCTGAGAGAATAATGAACAAAATGAAATAAACAGAATATAACATAATAATGACTTAAAGGACACAAAGGTAAAAAATGTTTCTGAGTATAAGAGACAGGACAGTTACCACATGTAGGCACCAAATTTTACTAAGTTTACTAATAGCTGAGGTGAAATAAAAAACAAGTAAGTGTTAAATAGAAATGTTAATAAATAAATAAAACATTAAATAAGAAGCTGAGGTAAAATAGGAAATTTTCTTCAAGAAAATACAAATTTACCTGCAAAAAACTTTTTTTCCAAAACTAAATCCCAGGGAACACTGCAAAAATTATTAGTTTACAACAAGGAATAACATGAGTTAATAAAAACTATGTATTAAACATGTTATTTTAAATATCATTGATAAAATGTTGAGATTAACACTTTTCAAAAACAATATATATATATCTCATATATAAGGATACAACCAAAAACAAGAAATTTAATTAAACATTATTGAATGTATCATCAAAAGATTCATTTCCAAATCTACTAATCATATAAATACATTGAAATAAACAAATATAACTTTTATGCAAAATAAACTATGATACTAAGATCACTTCTTTATGCAAGTCTATTAGTTTCTTGACACTAATCTTCCAGACAAAAGCATCAATTTTAGGTAGTAAGTGTGATATATCCTGAGAAAAATGTACCTCCAAATATAAAGAATTAATCTTCAAGTCATATTCACTAAAAGTACCTGTTCCATTATATTTTAAAATTTGTGATGACAAAATGAACAGTGTTATAAAATCTTATAAGTGTACATCATTCCTCAAATATAACATACAATACAAAAATTGATATTGTTACCAATAATTATAAAAAGCCAGGTAACTTGAACAGTGAAGATTCATGGAAAAAAAAGTGCTTTACTTGCTCATTAACTTTCTTCTCTTTCTCCAACTCCTTTTCCATGTCCTCCAATTCTCTATCTTTTCGTTCTAATTGCTTTTCAAGTTGGCGAATTTCATCACGTAAAAACCGAGTATCCCGACCACCTGCAGACCGCTGAGCCATCTCAAAGTAATAAACCCAAAGTATAAATTATATTATATTTTGAAGTTCAAATGATTCAACAATAAGCAACTTATCTTGACTTTAAATTTTCATTATATTTCAGTGCAGATATTTAAAATCATATTAAGAATCTTTTTTTTTTAATTTAACTTACCTAAGCGTTAGTTCACAGCTAGTAAGTCTTTAAACTTCTCCTGAGCCACCCAGAGCTACAAAGAATTGACTGTTAATCATTCTGTTGTAACCACTGGCCAACAGGTAGCAGACTAAAGGCAAAGGTCCTAAGCCGCAGAGATCTGGAACCCGTGTACGAACCATGAGAAACTCCGTCGCTGTTAGTGAAGTTTAGTGCCTTAACCTGCCCTTTCTCTCATATCATGCACTATTTAGACCAGTGCTGCCCAACAGGACTTTCTAGGATAATAGACATGCTCTCTCTGCTGTTCAGTTCAGTAGCCACTTGTTACATGTAGCTATGTTTGGGTATTTGAAGTGTAGCTACTGTAACTGAAGAACTAAATTTTTCATTTTAATTTTAACAAATAGAAATATAAATAGCTAGTGTTAGTGCCACTTTACTGAACAACTCAGGTTTCATTTATCTTTAAGATTTGTAGCCAACTAAATCCATTTTATTTCATATTCTTGTTAATTTAGGTCATGTCCCAGAACATCAAATCATTTGGTCATCTAACCTGTCTCACATTTATCTCTTCACCTTATAGTTCTGTTTTTCCTCTACCTTAACCAAATTTTTCACACTCTTTCTCTCCTTCAAAAAGCATTCCCTGTGCTAAAGTCTTCTTCCAAGATAAATATTTCACAACCTCAGATTATTTACTGAATCATCCTTTCCATCTCCTTGCCTTAGCTGCAATTTGGATCCTTTAGGATACTAATGCCCTTGGAACTCTTTCAGTTGGAAGGTGCTCATTCTTTCACAGCCCATATACATTAGGGTCAGGAGGAGGTGTTGGTACTTCTAGGTTTACTCTACCCTGCAACTTCACGTGATCATTCCTATCATTCCTCCATCATCCTATGAAAACCTCAGCTGCTTTCTCACAAGATATCCAGCTCTCCATCTTTACCTACTCATGGTAGCAGCAAACCACCAACTTCCCAGTGACTCTGCAAAATGTACTGGGAATTTAAGCATGTGCCTCACAGACGTTCATCAAATCCCCAAGCAATTTCCACATAACTTTTGTTCTAGTCTATTTTTTTTTTCTTGTTTCTTGAATTCACTATCATCTCTCACTGACACACCAACATCAAATCCTTGTCCAATCAGAAACATTCTTTCAATTATTCCCACTATGCCTGTCCTTTGACCTCACAGGACACTAATCCCTCGACTTCTCACTCCTTATCCCTACCCTTCTGCCCACCCAACCCCAATCTTGACTTTCTTATCTATTCAGTTGAGACTTCATAATCACCACTTCAACCACTTTCCTACCAATATCTTCAAAACTGTCTTACTCTTCTATTGTATAGCAGGTGCCTATCTAAACATTAACACAGAATTGATTCAACTCCATAATTCATTTAATGAGTATTTATTGAAAGTACTTGGCATTTTTCCAGGAGCTGGATATACAATCAAAATAACAAGTCATCCAAGTTCAGAGAATTAACAAATAAAAGAATCAGGACTAGAACTCAAATCTGTCTGACTCCAGATCCCCAACTCTCCAGTCTTTTCTCCATTACATTTCAAATTTTATCTGATTTTCTTAAAATGTGACCACACCATCTCCCACTCTTTCTAACAGATGACATCATCACTGACCTCTCAACTTCCAGGCACTATGCCTACAAACATAAAGGCTTCTACATACATCTACTGTTCCTCCCCTCATCTACTCTTCCTTCTCTCCTAACACAAGGAAAAGGGTATTCCTTCTTTCAAAGGCTGATCCGTTTCAAAAGCTGATCCATCCCTACCTTTTCAGGAATCTGAATTTAGTTCCTCAACAATACATTCATACTTTAGCCCTCAGCTTTGTAAAAAATTACTTCTATAAAACCCTTTGGTCATTATTCCCCAACTCCCCACCCACGCTCCACCTCAGTTACTAGTAAGCTTTCTATGTATTTCCCAAGACTGCAAGCTCCATATAGCAGTTAACTGTTTTAATTTCATTCACAACTGTATGCTCAATCCGAGAATATATACTGAAAAAGCAAATAACCATGATTACTATCATCCTTATAACTTTTCCAGCCAATAATAATTTTAAAATTTGAAAACAATGCAAAATAAAATTTATGACAATTACATTCTAGGAAATACAAAAAGACATACCTCCAGTTCATTTTCCAGTTTCATTACTTTAGTTTTTAATTGATTTTCTGTTTTTTTAAAAAAAAGACAAATGTTTTCATACATTAGCTACCACAAAACAAACTTTTAAATAAATTTAAATAACAAAATTAATTCTTTTAAAAGACTCCATCATGACTATAAGGTATCAAAAAGAATTATATGGCAGATCCATAAAATAGGAGTCTAGAATTGCTTATTATTAAGTAAATGTTATATATTAAAAATAAACTATATACATCTTATAGAATAAATTTGATTTTCTACAGCTTAATGAACACATGGAATTTATTATTTAATACCATAAACTTTTTTCCAAGTTGCTTACCAAATTTTGCTTGTTCTTCTCCAGCTTTTTCTACTTCTTCCAAAGCCAGCTCTACTTCTTGAGCTTTCATCTAAACATTAAAAAAAGGTTATTTCAATATGCCTTTGTACTAGAATGTAAGCACTGAAAACAAAAATTGTATTTATTATGATTCTTAGTGTCAGCAATGGGGGGCACATGGCGATTTTCAGTAAATATTTGTTAAATAAATACATAATTTTTCTTTCTTTTTTTTTTTTTTTTTTTTTTTTGAGACAGGGCCTCACTTTGTCACCCAGGCTGGAGTGCAGCGACACAATCTCAGCTCACTGCAACCTCTGCCTCCTAGGCTCAAGCAAACTTCCCACTTCAGTCTCCTGAGTAGCTGGGACTACAGGTGCATACCACCATGATCAGCAAGACTTTAAATTTTTTCGTAGAGACAAAGTCTCACTGTATTATTCGCCGTATTATGCAGGCCAGTCTCAAACTCCTAGGCTCAAGCAATTCTCCTGCCTTAGCAACCCAAAGTGCTGGGATTACGGACGTGAGGCAGTAATCCAGGCAACTTTCTTACTTTCTTACTTAAGATTATAATTTCTATTTTTAATAGCATGAAATATTTTTGATTCTCCCTTTTACCTCAAGTCTTAAGTCTTACATCCAGTAATACAACATCTCCCTTTGTAATTTTTTTCACTACTTTTTTTCTGTTCCAATTGTTATTATTCTAACACATAATTTCATGTTTAAACTCCTCTATAATGTGATGTCTATATAGCTCCAGTAATCCTTCTATTTGTCATATATTATATATTGTTTTGCCTTCCTAAGGCATATTTTTGTACCTATCAACTGTGGTTCAGAAACCTTTATTGCCTTCTCAATTGCTGGTAGCATAAACTATATCTTTAAGGCCCTCAACAGTCTCTATCAAAGTACCTACCCAAGATTTGTTTTCTCTACAGCCTGCTACAAACTTGCTGCACCTTGTCTTCTCAAACGTAAAGAATATGCATATTTCCTATTCTCAATATTTACTTATGGTAACCAACAGCTCTAGAATTCCCTTACTATCTTACCACTGCATTGCCTTCCACTTAACTAAAACTACTCCTCAGTCTTCATCCTTTGCAAAGTTTTCCAACACCTCTTAAATCACTTCCCCTCTTAACAAATCCCTATAGACAGCCATTGTCTGCATTTGTCATTTGGACCTCAGGATATATCTCCCTATATAATTTTTCAATATACTCATTCTGTTTCCCCTACACACCCTTTTAGAAACTTTAAGTAAAAACTAGCAACGTTTTACACACTACAATTCTTAAGCCACATTTAAATATATTGCATTTTTGAATGGTGATGTAGATATTATCAAGTATTTTCACAAAGATTACCTTATAGAAGAAAAGATTTTTATGGTTCCTCTAATAGCCAAACCTACCATCAAAACCGACTATATACAAACCTTCATTAGTGACTGAGTAATTCTGAAAAGGTGTATCACATTTTCTTGTTTTTCATTGTTTAGCTCATTTACTTCCACCTAAATAAACAGAAAAGCAAATGTTTTATATTTTATAACAAAATATACGAGCTCTTCCAGATTGTGGCTACAGTTGTCACAGCAAAAAATACTTGATTAATAAACTAATCATAAGTTAATATATATATATTATTATTGATCAATTATACACCTTAGATAAGGAAATCAATAAATTATCTGCCAGTTCTTCTTGACGGGGCAAATCATCTGGATCAACTTTCATTATTTCTTTCCAGTTTATATTAGGTGGCATCTTGAATTCTTTCACTTTGCTCCACCTCTGTAACAAAACAGGTGGAAATTAGCATTTTCAAGGTACACAGCATTTTTGGTGTTCTAGTAGTTTACATTTTTTGCAGATTATGTCATTACAACTTTCTGATGTTAGCAAAGAGCTATGCCTTAGCCTCAACACAGACAAGTGGGCAAAATAGCCTTGGTCAAAATTATAGCAGTCGGCACCAACTGTCAGAGAGTTTACCGGCTAAATAAAATGTGACGGCTTCCTTGCTAAAACTAATCTAAGTTAGGACTAAAATTCTGGATCCCCTCCTCCACACTCCCTACCCTCAACGCGCTCGAACACCCTAATCGTGCCAAGGGCAAGGGTCTGTGGAAGCCTGACAACGGAGAAGCAGAATTGGGGCTAAAAAAAATGCGAACATTAACAATTGCAATGAGTTAAGTTGTACGGGAGACACAGGAACCGAAGCAAGGCAGAAGGATTGTGGACCCGAGACTGGAAGGGGCGGGGTAGCTACGCTGTGGCACAGGGGCCCGGAGGCTAAAGAACCTGAGCTTGGAGCGACTCGCTGCCCCTGCTTACAAGGATCCACCCACCTAGACCAAGCCTGACAACCAGCGGAGGTCCCTCACTATCGCAACCACCAGGCTGGACCCGGCCGCAGACCCTGACAGAGATCCCTATCGCAGTTCCACGCGGACTCTGTGTCCCGCCAAAGGTTCCCAAGTAAGCCAAAGCGGCAGCTGCTGCTAGGCGACACCAACCCCTACTCCGCCAAGGCCAGAATAAGGCCCCGGATGCAAGGAGAGCCTACAGTTCACGACCATGAGTGATACTTTACGTTTAGATTCTCCGTCGGAGTCCCAGGAGTCGGTGTTCAGGTCGCTGAGAAGGCATGGAACGAGGACTGCAAATCCCAGACTGCAGTTCTGCCTGAGGCTTGTGCAAGCTGGGAACTGAAGTCTCTGAGAGGAGGTAAGGCGCTCCCGGCATGCAATGCGTAAGGCTGCGACGGTACCCGGGCGGCGGAGAAGGACCGGGAGGCGGGAGGCCCAGCGGCTGAGGCGCTTAGAAGCTGGTGGCCTGAACGAGGTAGACCATGACTGTGGCTTCAGTGGCGTCAGTCGCTGGGCCGCTCTTCCTGAGGTTTTCCTAAGCCATCCCCTGGCGGAACCCCTCCCAGGTATAGTCGAGCTGTCGGTCCGCGGAAAGGGAGGAGTTGAGGGGAGCAGTCCCGGGTTAGAGAAGCATCTGCTATTGGGGCCGTAGGGCCTGGCCCCATTCTGAAAAAGTGGGAACTCTCCGCCTTCTCTTCAGCCGTTTGCAAGCGGCGTCCAGAGCCTTCTATAAGAAGGGGGAAAAAAAGTTTTAACCTTGTTTGGTATCAGAATCTGTCTTGGTAGTTAGAGTGAGAGCCACGCCGCTGTGATCCTGTTTAGGGGCGAGCGAAGAGTTAACAAGAGATTATGGCATCTTCTGACCCCGCCTGCCTTACCTGTAGTACAGTTCCCTTGGTGGATGGTGGGGCTTGAAGGTTGTGGAGCTAGTATGAAGTGAAGGCTCCAGAGTGGAGAGGTTAGTACTTGTCCGGGCCACTGCCGGGGTGGAGAGAGAAGGGAGCCAAGGACTCACCTGTACTGTTTTCACTTGCTTGGTTACCTAGGGTGCCCGTCCATGAAAGCGCCTTCTCTGGTGTTTTCCACTCTTGCTCGTGCAAGTTTTGCTCATTCCTCTGCTCACAGCCATGCTGGAGTATGATACACTTCTAGCTAACTTTCCTAAGAAGCTGTAGACTTAAATCTAAATGACATTTCCAACTATCTGGACTATACCTTTATTTTAAACGCTGCTTAAAAAAAAAAATACTATACTTGACTAAATTTTCCTTTTGAAAATAAGTAATGAGTTTCTTTTTAAACCACCAATTTGAGTAAAATAAGTAACTCAGCACAAAGTAAAAAATTACTGGTTTCGTGAGATAAATTTTAAAGACAGATTTATAGGAACAATTTTACTACTTTTCGGAAAGATTATAGCCAAATACTATTCATAATCTTGTTTATTCTTCATTACAATGCAGTAAAATAGGTGCTTACATTGTCCTCATTTTCCGTCTAAGAAACTGAGTAGTCTAACTTAAATAACGTGATTGAACACAGATCTCTCTGGCTGGAGGACATATTCTTAACTTCTTACTACCTCCTCATACATTCTGGGAAACGAGTATTTGTAAATTGCTTGTTCATCAATCATGCTATTTTTATTAAATATTATCATGTTTTAATTTTATAAGTGTTTACTCAGTAATTTGAATTAAATAGTCTTCATATTCAGTGTTTTTAATTCACAATTTAACATGAGATAGTTTCTGGAAAGGGGTCTGATCCAGACCCCTGGAGAAGAGGGTTCTTGGATCTGGCCAAGAGAAAATTGGAGGTGCAACCATAGAGTAAAGCAAAAGCAAGTTTATTAGGAAAGTAAAGGAATAAATAATGGCTACTCCATAGGCAGAGAAGCAGCCTGGGCTGCTATACTAAGGATTCTTATAGTTATTTTTATAGTTATTTCTTGATTATATGCTAAACAAAGGGTGGATTATTCATGAGTTTTCTGGAAGAGGGTGGCTAATTCCTAGATCTGAGGGTTCCTAACCTTTTTAGACCACATAGGGTAACTTCTTGACATTGCCGTGGCATCTGTAAACTGTCATAGAGCTGGCGGGAGTGTCTTTTAGCATGGTAATGCATTATAATAATTACTGTATAATGAGCGGTGACAATGACCAGAGGTCCCACTTTTCTCGCCATCTTGGTTTTGGTGGAATTTGGCTGGCTTCTTTACTGCATGCTGTTTTAATCGGCAAGGTCTTTATGACTTTATGAGACCCCCCCAATCTCATCCTGTGACTTAGAATGCCTGACATCCTGGAAATGAAGCCCAGTAGGTCTCAGCCTTATTTTACCCAGCCCCTATTCAAGATGTAATTGCTCTGTTTCGAATACCTCTGACAATGGTAGGGATGAAATTTAATAGTTATTGAGCACGTATCATGTGATACACTGTGCTTACTACTGCATGTTTATCTTCATAGAAGAAATACACCACACTTAACTACTGCATGTTTATTTTCATAATAGCGATCTGTCCTTTTTACCATAACACCTAGTTTTTCTTCTTGTTTTTTTCATTCATTATAACTTACTTTTATGTATTCACTTACAAGTTTTGTTTTGTTTGTCTGTATTATTCTTTTCTACCTTTACTTCCACCACCCTCTTACTCACAGTCATAAACTCAAGGTGCCTGGTCTCTAATGGTAACTTTTATTCTACTTTTTCAGAAGTGAGAACAAGTTCATAAAAGTTAAGTAATTTCCTAATAATTGATGGAGCTAAGATTATAGCCTAGATCTCAGTGACAATCATAACTAAAAGCAAAATCTTACCTAAATTTTATTCTTTAACTCATTCTAACAGTATTTTTTATCTTGCTCCCTGTGCTGGGTACTGGGGATACAGCCGTGAACAAGTCCGCTGTGACTTGAACAAGTCAACATAAGTGTTCATGCATTGTGGCCTGTTTGTCCCTAACTGTGAATCGGGAAATTTAACTCAAGTTCTAGTTCAGTAACTCACTGTATGTTTTTGAGGAAAACTGCCAAAACTCTATTAAATATTTTTCATCAGATTTTCTTCATCAGTCAGATTTCGTTAAGAATTGGGACTTCTGTGACAATTTTATAAGTGGCCTATTACAAGAACACTTGTCTGGACTTGCCTTCTTTGTGCCCTGGACTTTTTGAACAGTTTTATCTGATCAAAATCACTTCATAAGAAAGCCTCACCTTTTATAATTGCTTACTTTTGTACTCTGTAGCAATGAATTTATATTCCTTAGATGTTACCTTTAATTCCTTTTTGCTGACTTATCAAGAAAATTCATAGTAGCTTACTTCTTCAATATCTAAAATAAAGCATGGCCATTTTGTATCCATTATGTATCCTAAACATTTTGTTTTGCCTTATTTTCATGGACAGGAGTGAGTATGCAACAGGCAGACACTTGCCTTCCTTCAACATGAGAAACTGGAAAGATTAGTAGGGAGTCTGTGAATACAGACTTTGCAAGCCAAAGTTTTACAAAATTTAAACATAATAATTTGCTGTTCCTGTAAAAGATGATTTAATGATAATGAAATTGAGAGGACTTCCTCAGTGTCCCAAGAAATTAAACTAAGAAAACTTTTCTGACTAAATATTTCCAGATTCATATAGTTTTTTTTCTGTAGGTTTATTGTTTGCACAGTTTTACAATTAAATTATTACAAGAAGTGAACACATATACAATTTTGTTGCAGGGATTGTTTTTAGTTTTATATATCTATAATGTAGCTCATGAGTAGTCTTTGTAAACTGAAAAGTAAGACAGGTCTCAACCTACTTAGAAGTTTATTTTGCCAAGGTTAGCGACATGCCCAAAAGAAATAAATACTGAATCACTGAAACAGTCTGTAGTCTCTTCCTTTCTCTAAGATGATTTTGAGGGCTTCAGTATTTAAAGGGGAAAAATCCAATGGAGGGGAAAAAGGGTAAATATGGTAATCCATCCACATGTTGCAAGAAAATACGAGCAGATGGGGAATAAATATTATGTATTTTTGTGGGGTAGTAAATCAGCATTTTATATAAGATAAGGTTAACGTAAAGTAGCTACCTGTGAAGATATTTAACATTTTATTTGCAGCTATCTGCTTAAGAACAAAAGGAAGGACAGTTTGTTGCATGAGTCAGCTTTCAGCCTATTTTTTTTCTTTAGGCATAATGAATTGGAATTCCGAGTTTTATTTTCCTTTCACATTTCCAATTGCACTTGGATTTTGTGCACATATATAGTAACATCCCATTTTTGTAAGCAAACAGAAATCAGTCATTCCATCCACTTAAACTGTGCATCCGTGAGTCTGCTTCTGTGCCTAGGAAAAACTAGAAGTTCTCACAACTTAACCCGAATAGTGTGTCACATGTTTACAGTAATGGCCCCCTCTGTCTATCCCTTTGTGTAAATCTCTCCCTTAACCGCAACCCCTACTTTGCAGGTGACTCTTGGAGGTAACCTAAGATGACTCCACAACTGAGCTCATGACATGTTCTCTCTCCCTCTCTCTTATACTATGCTCCTTTGGGGAGTCTTAAAAATTCTGTTATCTTGGTCCTTTTATAACTTTTTCCCCATGATTCAGGATGTACTTTGCTTGAATAATAATTTTTAAAATATGCATTAAATAGAGCCTTAGGAAGAGCTTGTGCAATGAATCTTGTCCTATTGTCTTGAGATCATCATTTAAGAAGCCCAAGCTAATCTATTAGAAGATATGATAATAAGTAGCAGAGACTAGCTTTCAAAGCTGAGAAATCTATCCTTTAAAAGCCATCCAGCCCAAGCCATCCCACGGAATAACTGTAAGCACATGAGTGACCCCAGGCACAACTAACAGAAGAACCAAATACATACATACCTATATATTTGTATATATGTATCAAATAAAGATATTTATATTGAAGAATTGAATTAATTTGAATGTGTTCATTTTTAAGTACTTCAGATGCCTAACTTAACAAGGAAAACTTTCTCAATACTTAAAGAACGGCTTAAATTTAGGAAATAAAACTATAGCAAATCCCAAGTTCTTATAAAAATTCCAATACTATTGGAATTGTATGCTTAGCTAAATTATACTTTTCAACTATAGTTATAAATCTACAAATTACTTAGTAGTTTATTATACATATTATTATATATTTTT